CAAGGGGCCCAGGGCAGCCTGCACTGCTAATGTATGCATGGAGATTTGTCCATATTTTTCCATTTGTTTTAATAAGCTACACATACCTGTCAAAAATTAGTTTATGATGCTGAGTTGTAAATACCCAAATTTAAGGATGGAGACGGCTGTTGTCAATACGTGTGACCAAACCGCAGAATTTTTTTGTCAACGAATAGCAGTCATCACTTAATTGTCCAAAAATTAACTTGAGTTTTATTGTTGGTTGCAAAGTAAATTAACACAAAGGCGGCAATAAAAATTTTGGCCTTGAAGGAAAGAAGCACAAATATAAGTCCTTTCTCCATTGTGAAGAATCCACAATGGACCAGGCGCTGGTGAGGTTGGGCTCCCCCAGTAGATGGAGACATTTTCAGAGTTTAGAGGCGTGTCAACATATGTGACGCACTGTCACATCCCCTTCGTTCGATTCGATTCATGATTTCACTGCCACGAAGCGCTCAAATTCGTGTGCAACAGTCTAAAAACGAAATAAACCGAGCCAAGAAGCACACACGAACTCGCACGTAAACATTTGAGACGCAACAAAACAAAATGCTGCCAACCTATGAAATGAAAAGACAAGAACAAAAAAAAAAAACGACGTTCTTTTCATTTCATAGGTTGGCAGCATTTGTTTGTTGCGTCGCAAATGTTTACGTGCGAGTTCGTGTGTGCTTCTTGGCTCGGTTTTTTTCGTTTTTAGACTGTTGCACACGAATTTGAGCGCTTCGTGGCAGTGAAATCATGAATCGAATCGAACAAAGGGGGATGTGACAGTGCGTCACATATGTTGACACGCCTCTAAACTCTGAAAATGTCTCCATCTACTGGGGCACCCCAACCTCACCAGCGCCTGGTCCATTGTGGATTCTTCACAATGGAGAAAAGGACTTATATTTGTGCTTCTTTCCTTAAAGGGCCCAAAATTTTATATTGCCGCCTTTGTTTTAAATTTTACTTTGCAACCAACAATAAGACTCAAGTTAATTTTAGGACAATAAAGTGATGACTGCTATTTGTTGACAAAAACATTCTGCGGTTTGGTCACACGTATTGACAACAGCCGTCTCCATCCTTAAATTTGGGTATTGACAACTCAGCATCATAAACAATTTTTTACAGGTATGTGTAGCTTATTAAAACAAATGGAAAAAAATGGACAAATCTCCATGCATACATTAGCAGTGCAGGCTGCCCCGGCCCATTGTGTCAAGGTGTTTAACTGCTGCGCGCCTTGCAAGGCGTTTAATGGTAAGACACCTTCAAAGGTGCGTAGCTGCTAAACACCTTGGTTCAAACAAGGGATGGCATGGCTGTATTCAAAGACAGTCAAGCTGTTCAGCCTCTGCACACCTCCAAGGTGTCTAGCAGTTAAAAAGCCTTGGAAGGCGTATAGTAGTTAGACGCCTTGAGGCAATGGAAAGAGGCAGCTTGTATTGCATTAGTACTCCCACTGCTGTTTGGTGGGTACAGGCCAAGCAAAGGTGTCTTGTAATTCAACGCCTTAGGCGTTGGGTAACTAAACGCCTTAGGCGTTGAGTAACTAAGCGCATCAAGGCGTCTAGGTTTTTGAGGCAAACGCCTTAAGGCGCTTAGTTATTGAACACCCAGGAATAACAGTGTAGGCCAGCCGGACGACACGTGTGCGCGGCGGGCCTGCCTACCCCGCGCATTGCGTTGCTATTAATGCCTGGAAAACCCAAGTGATCGTCGGCCCCCGGCATGGCAGGCGCTCCCACAGTGCGCTAGTACTGCCTTTGTCGGCCGCCCACCTCCGCGCATCCCAAGCGGACGGACCAACCGGGGAAATCACTGTGAATTTCGGTGTACAAATCCAATGAATTACAGTCGAATTTCGATGAATTTCAGGCAAAATTCGATGAATTTCAGGCAAAATTCGATGAATTTCAGTCAAAATTCGATGAATTTCAGTCAAAATTCGATGAATTTTAGTCAAAATTCGATGAATTTCAGTCAAGACTCCATGAATTTCAGTCGAAATAAGATGCATTTCAGTCAAATTTTGATGAACATCAGTCAAATTTTGATGAACATCAGTCAAATTTTGATGAATTTTGGTGTACAAATTTGGCTTGAGTTACATCCCCTTGGGACCAACAAGGTGATCACTGTACTCTCTTCTCTGCCGCAGGCTACAACACGTACACGTACAACTCGACGGCGCACACGGAGCGCTTCCCGGACGAGATCCTGAGCGTCACCTACGAGGACGGCAAGTGGAGCAAGCCGTACTACGACTGCGGCGGCGGCAACATCTGGATGCTCACCTACACCGTGCCCTTCTTCGGCTTCGCCAACGGCTCCTACTTCTTCAAGTGAGTTCGACAACAACTGCTATGCGGACGGAGCGCGGCGGTCGCGGCAGGCGGTGGTCCGCACGTGTCGCCAAAGTAGTCGACTGTCGACCGAAAGGAATTTGTGACGGCGATCATTCCAGTCGGCCGCGGTGTCGTGCTGGAGGTCGTCCGTCGGGCAGTCCGTGCGCGCACGTGTCGCGCGTGTCGATGTGCGAGTGGCGGCGCGTGTGGGGTGTGTGTGTGGTGTGTGTGGGTGTGTGTGTGTGGGTGTGTGTGTGTGCGTGCGTGTGTGGTGTGTGTGTGTGTGTGTGTGTGCATGCGGTGCTGCCGAGCCCTTCCGGCACGTCAAACGGAGAGGAACCGATCAGTCACCCGAGTCACGGCCCGAGCCCGGAGGCCCTGAAGGAGGCCCTGAAGGAACACACACGGCGGGGCGGATGCACGCCGAGGGCAGCAGGCAGCGCGCAGCCAGCGCACAGTGGGCCAGAAGACCGGTGGAGGCGGCCAAAACTCTAGACGCGTTTTGAGCTCCAGAGTCGCTAAACAGGACTCGAACCGAACGTATGACCTCACCAATGGATTCCTCGTCCGGAGAGCAATCCATTGGTGGGCTCGCACGTTCGGTTCGAGTCCCATTTAGTGACTCTGGGGCTCAAAACGCGTCTTGAGTTTTGGCCGCCTCCACCGGGCTTCTGGCCCACTGTGCGCTGGCGACATCGTGAGGCAACTCTCAAAAACCTGTCAGTTGTGTGAGGTGGCCTGGAAACACACAGGCGCGCGCCTTCCCCCCTCTCCCTCCCCCCCCTCCTGTCTTTCTTTGTGCGTGCGTGTGAGTGCGTGCCCGCCATGTGCAGGCCCCCTCCCCCTCTCCCCCTTTGTATATCCGCTGCCAGAACCGGCCTGACGTATGTTCACTGCCACTTAATCCCGGTTGTCGAATCCGACCGCTGTCCTCTTGTAGTGGTTCACACACACACACACACACACACACACACACACAGAGACACAGAGAGAGAGAGAGAGAGAGAGAGAGAGAGAGAGAGAGAGAGAGAGAGAGAGAGTTGTTCCTTTCCTCTCTATGACGGTCGTGCGGGCTGGACAGCGGCCGGTTGAGGCCAGGAAATGTGGGCCCCCTCTCTCCGCCTTGGTACTTTTCCCGGCCCGCCGAGTGCGTCTGGCAAAGACTCCCCCGCTGCCTTGCCAGCCAGCCAGTCTGCCGGCCCGCCAGCATGGCTGCCAGCATGGCCTGGCCGCGGGGCCACGTGGCCCGATCCATCAATGGGATGGGGGCGGGGCGCAGCGGGGTGGGGGAAGTGCCCTTGTTTTGTGTTGCCCTGTCGAGCTGGAAAATGAAGAAGCCTGGCGGGGTCGGACAGCGGCACCGCGCGATTTTGGCGGTGGCTGCGCCCGTGCTGCACACTGGTAAATCTTCGGCGTAGCATAGCGCCCTTCGTGACCGCGTCTAGCCCGCACGCTGTTCTTGAAGCGTTCAAAACCTTTTTTGCGCACATTTTCTCCGTCCAAATCCCTTGGGAAGGACCTTGACTCGTATACGATTTCAAGAAGGGCGCGAGGTCTTCGAGCTTAATTTGTCTTCAGCTCGGACTGATTCCGAGAGTCGTTTCCGTGGCTCCGTCTCTCTCGCAATCATGGAACGTCCCTTGTAGGAGCGAGAGAGACAGAGCGACGGACCAGTCTGCTGGCTAGCACGATGCGCTCCTCCTCCTCCTCCTCCCTCCTCCCTCCTCCTCCTCCTCCTCCCCCCCTCCTCCTCCTCCTCCCCCTCCTCCTCCTCCTTCCTCCCTCCTCCTCCTCCTCCTCCTCCCTCCTCCCCGTGGCCGCCGTGGCGCTTAAAGGACAAAGGCCCTTCGTTTCCCGGGCCATTCGTCCTGGCAGGTTATTAATTGGAGGCGAGCCGTGTGATGCCGGCCACACCTTGCTTATGCCTCGCTTGCACCTTGCTGGACTGACTCCGAGAGTCGCTTTCGCCGCTCTGTCTCTCTCCCTCTCTCTCGTTTATGAGCGCCCCGGACTGGTGCGAGCGAGACAGAGCGACGAAAACGACTCTCGGAATCAGTCCGCTGGCTGCGTCGCCGCGTCTCAGCGAATGTCGGCGCCTAAAGCATGCGCAGGCGGTGATGTATTTCAGGGGAGTGGTCGCCTCGGCCGTGCCGCGCTGTGCCGTGCCGCGCCGTGCCGTGCCGTGCCGTGCCGTGCCGTGCCGTGCCGTGCCGCGCCCCGCGTCAGACCCTAATCACCGCGCGGCAGCACCGGCACGCTGGCACACTGGCACGCACCCTCCTGCTTCCCGGACATGAATCCTCCTTGCCTCGCCTGCTTTGCCTGCCTTGCCTGCCTGCAGACTCGTATTATGTTTTCCAGAATAAGCCGCGCAGCGCGAAGCCGGCATGTCGAGGGGCCCAGGCCGACCCCGGGCCGGCCATTACCTGAGGATAAACAGCGCAACCCTTAACGCCGACACAAACACACACACACACACACACACACACACACACACACACACACACACTCAGAGAGAGACGCGCTGTCTCCACCTGCCCCAATTAACGTGCAGGCGAGGTGTATGACAGGGCGGGGTGCAGCCCAACGACGTCCTGCACTCCGACCCGACCCGACTCCCGACCCGGCCCGGTCGGGCCACTGTAAGACTGCCGAGCCCAGCCCCCGTCCCGTCCGACTCGTGCCGCCTCCTGGCCGCCTCGCGCTTGTCGTGTCGTAGGCCGAGGACATGGTTTCTCATTTGGACCGCGCGACGCTTTCCGCCCTCTTGCCTCGTCTCCTTCTCGTTCTTCTTGTTTTTCAAGGTTGGAACCTTGCGAAGTATTTTTAGCAGGTACACTACAAAATCAAATGTGTGCTTAGTACACAGCTGTGGGAGTCTTGCAAGTGCACATCTATAGGCGTGTACTTGACAAGCATACATCTATAGATGTGTACTTGGGCAAGCATGCATCAATAGGAGTGTGCTGTCAAATGGGTGACATGTATGTGTGCTCGTCCAAGTCAATAGATCAACACATCAATAGATGCTTGTCAAGTACACACCTATAGATGTGTACTTGCAAGTACACTCCCACAGCTGTATACTAAGCACACAAGGTGCAAACTATTTCGTTTGCTAGTCGAAGAAATAGTTCGTCGAGTAGGAAGTTGTCTTTGGCAAGTTTCATACATGCTAAAAATACTTTGTTGGGCCAAGCTACTTCAAGGCCCTATTTGTGAGGGGATTTGTGAGTGTTCTTCTTCTTCCTCCTCTTCTGCAACGCCCCTCCCCTCCCCCGCTCCTCGGGCCTTGCTGCGTCGCAAGCTCGCCGTCGTCCTCTGGACTCGTCTTCTTGGCGCGCGAGGCCGCAGCCTCCTCCCTCCTCCCGGTCAGCAAACATGCCTCGCGCTGCGCCTGCAGACTGACTCCGAGAGTGGCTTTCGTCGCTCTGTCTCTCTCGCACTCGCGGGGCGTCCCGTCGAGAGGGACAGCGCGACGAAAACGACGACTCTCGTCTGCTGCCTGCCTTCGGACAGTGACAGTGTGCCGTCGCCCGTCCTGCACTCCCTCCACCGAGGCGACGCACAGTGGGCCAGAAGACCGGTGATGGCGGCCAAAACTCTAGACGCGTTCTGAGCTCCAGAGTCGCTGAACAGGACTCGAACCGAACGTGTGACCCCACCAATGGATTCCTCGTTCGGAGAGCAATCCATTGGTGGGGTCACACGTTCGGTTCGAGTCCCATTCAGCGACTCTGGAGCTCAAAACGCGTCCGGGATTTTGACCGCCTCCACCGGCCAGTGTGCAGGGCGTCCTTGCGCGTCCGACGCGGGGAACATTCTGCAAGGACAAGGACTGGCCACAAAGAAGGTGGGCCCGGGCCTCGGCCAGGCCAAGGAGGCCGAGAAGGCCGAGGCCGTGCAGCGCGCCGCACCTGGCAAATCCCGGTACAAAGCATAGCCGGCGAGGCGGGCGAGGCCGATAGGCCGGCGGGCGGGCCGGGGCGGGGCGGGGCGAGGCCGGCTTTGGGCGCCTCCTCCTCCTCCTCCTCCTCAAAGCCCTGCTCCTCACAGCCCCGCAGCCCCGCAGTCGCTCGCAGCGCGGCCACACATCGCCGCACTGCCAGCGAATTACCGGTCCGACAAGCCTAGCAAGCCGAGTCGGCATGTCAAGTCGCGGCGCTGTGTTTTCGTGTTGCTCGTTATTCTCGGTCTTCTGCTACACTGCTACTGCTGCTACACTGCCGCTGCTATACTGCTGCTGCTGCTACACTGCCGCCGCTACACTGCTGCTGCTGCTACTCTGCTGCTGCTGCTACACTGCTGCTGCTACACTGCCGCTGCTACACTGCCGCTGCTACACTGCCGCTGCTGCTACACTGCTGCTGCTGCTACACTGCTGCTTCTGCTACATTGCTACTGCCGCCACCCGCTCAATGATTTAATGGCACAGTGAGCGGAGCGGGCAGCAGGACCATTATCGAAACACGGCGTGGCGTGGCGTGGCCCAGCCGTCATCTTAATTTCGGTCTGTCTGCCTGACGGTCCGTCCGTCCGTCCGTCCGTCCAGTGGCGCTGCACGCTGCGGCCCCGCTCCGGAAAGACGATCCATCGTTGTTGCGAGATGTTCCGGATTGCCTGTCGGTGCTGGCTATCGCGCTGGAAAAGCGGGGCCTGAGGGCCAGTCCAGGTCGGCCGGCCGGGAAAATTCTCTTTTTTCGCCGATCCTTACGGAGGGGAGGCGCATGGGAAGGGTACTGGCGGCAGAGCAATTATTTATGGAAGTCGTGCCGAGACTGGTAGACCGACCGGGTGACCCGGGGCGTGGTGGGGCCACTGCCTCACTGCCCGGCCTCAAGGCCCTGCAGGCGCTGCCCCGCCACTGTAATGTGTGGTGCATACCTCGCCCCGCCCCGCCCCGCCCCGCTGGCTGCGGGTCCACCTGAGCTACGGCACACGCTGCGAAGCATGCGGAGCAGTTGGCCGCCCGCACCCCGACCCTCGACCCCTTCGTCATCCCCCACCGTAAAAAAAGATGACTATTTTCGCACATTTTTATATGTGTTTGAATGAAACTGTTTGCGCTGTGGGGGACTGCCGCCGTCCATCGGGAGTCTTTTCCTCGTCGACTGTCACCGCCTGGACCGGCACGCCACCATAATGTGACGCGGAGAGTTTGTTTTCCGCACCCTCGTGGCGTGGGGCTCCGGTGTCACTCTGAGGACCGCCCCTGGGTGCGGGGGCACAGTGGGCCAGAAGACCGGTGGAGGCGGCCAAAACTCCAGACGCGTTTTCAGCGCCAGAGTCGCTAAATGGGACTGGAACCGAACGTGTGACCCCACCAATGGAATCCTCGTGCGGAGAGCAATCCATTGGTGGGGTCACACGTTCGGTTCGAGTCCTGTTTATTGACTCTGGAGCTCAAAACGCGTCTAGAGTTTTGGCCGCTTCCACCGGTCTTCTGGCCCACTGTTGGGGGGGCATCGTTTTGCGTGGCGCTGCAAGCTGCAAGCCATTGTGAACGACCCGACAATAGGCCTTCCGAGAAAGTGGTGCGTTCCGTTTGCCACTCTCTTCCCCCTCCCCCTTCCACCCTCCGCCACCAGCCGCCATGCATGATTCCACCTCGTCGCGTTTCTTGTCCAAGACCGTGCGTGCATTATTTGGACAAACGCGAGCCGAGTGCCGGTGAAACGGTGTAGGCGACGGCCCTGCCGTGACCCGTGCGAGTACACAGTGAGGGACCGGGGCACAGTGGGCCAGAAGACCGGTGGAGGCGGTCAAAATCGCGGACGCACGTTGAGCTCCAGAGTCGCTGAATGGGACTCGAACCGAACGTGTGACCCCACCAATGGATTGCTCTCCGAACGAGGAATCCATTGGTGGGGTCACACGCTCGGTTCGAGTCATGTTTGGCGACTCTGGACCTCAAAACGCGTCTAGAGTTTTGCCCGCCGGCGCCGGTCTTCTGGCTCACTGTTCGCGGGGGCGAATTGAGCCACTCGCGGCCACGCTCGCGGCCAAAGTGGCCGATGCTCCCGATGGTGCTCGCGACGTCGCCGGCCTTGAGCGTGATGTGGTTATCCGGGGAATGGACACGCTCATTTCATTTGGCCGCGGGCATCCGAAAGGGTGGCATTCCCGCTGGCCTGGAAGCGGCAGAGCATGATGAAAATACCATACTGGGCCGGGGAATCCGAACCACGCCCCGGCAATATGAAACATGACAGGCGTGACAGTGACGCGCACTGCAGCCGGCTCTCTCCCACTGCAGGCTCACTCCGAAGGGCGGTGTGGTCGCTCTCTGTCACTCTCGCGCCTCCATACGTGAGGCCGCGCGAGTGCGAGAGAGACAGAGCGGCGAAAGCACACTGTTCGGAATGAGGCTGAGCACCAAAACTCGCCCCATCCCCGCGTGGCATTCGCGCGAGCTCGCCATCCAATATCCCGCCAATGAGTGATTAACCAATATCCCCGACCGATGAGTGATTAACAGCGTAGTGGCCGCGCCGCACCGCGCCGCGCACTGTCGGCAGGCAAGGCAGGGCCGTGGGTATGGGCCGGGCCGTGCGAACGCCGATGACGCCACCACCAGGAAACATCACCAACGACCATGACGGCGACCACGACGGCGGCCACCACCATGGTCTCCATCGCGTCCACCACGGCGGCCCGCGGGTGGCGAAACGTCACATCGAGTTTTCCGCCAGCAGACGGACGATGTGTGGCGTGGCGTGGATCCTAGTTGTTTTATCTATTATTACCCCAGCACAGCGCCCCGGGCAGAGCTGGGGATCTATGGGTCCGTCTGTCTGTCTCTCTCACACACTCAGGCACACTTCTCCCTCTCCGCCCTCTCTTCCTCTCCCTGTCTCTCTCCCTCTCTCTCACACATACAGACACAAACGATGTGCCTCGTAATTGGAATAAGCAATTTGATCGCGCTGTTTTCGCTTTCCTTATTCATGCTTTCCGGTTCCGTTTCGGCCGCACGGTGCGATGCGCTGCCCCCCCCCCTTTCCCCTGCACTGCGAGGGAGGGGGAGGGGGGTCCTGGTGGCGGCGGTGCGCGCGGGATACACTCGATCGTCATAAACGTTGGAGGACCTGGCGGTGGCCGGCTTTTCTCCTGCTGTGTTTATCATGAGGCCAAGACGTGGCACGGCCCGCTGGCCGAATGGAATTTCCCCGTCCAGCAAAGCGAGTTGAGCGAAGCGCGCGCAGGGCTGTAAAAAGGCGCGGCGACCGGCGGCACGGCGGCGACCTTTCTGGCTGCCCTTTGTCTACCCAACCACCCTAATCAGACCGAAGGACGAAGGACACCGCGGCCATGCCGCGACCGCACCCCCAAATTTCCATTCGGCTTTCTGCGGTCGACGCCGCTTGTTGTTGTTCTTTTTTTTTTCGGCTTTCGCGCATTATTCATGACGGCCAGGCTAGCCGTCGAAGCGATGAGCGACAAGCCACTGGACAGCTGCGCGCTGAGCCTCGTCTGAGCGCGCTAGGCTCGCTAGGCTACCCAGAGTCTCGCCTCGGCCGGGTCGGTCGGCCAGTCGGCCGGGAGGGACGCTCTTGTCATGCGGGAATAGGAGGGACACTATGCTCCGGTTTTGGCTCTGAGACGGCGGCGGACCGGCGTCGATGCCCGTCGGAAGCGGGTATTTTCGTCGGTGGAAATGACCCGTGAGGGGTGGGAGGGAGACGGACCGACTGGCCGCCCTGTCGCCAGGAAGTGAGACGACTGCCACACTGTTCCAAAAGTAAATTCAAATCGACAAAAAATTTCGTTGAATCGACCAAACATTTTCGTCGTTTCAGGGTGTGACTATAAACGTTTTAGCCATTTCGTCTGAAAACTAGTCGAAATGACAAAATAACGTGCTCATTTCAAGCAACATTTAGCTCTTTTGACTTTAAAAAATCAGTCGAGTTAACAAAATTTTGGTCGATTCAACTAAAATTTAGTGACCCCGGGTAGTAACGACATTACATTTCTCTCGGTGCACGGTGGCCATGGCCGCCACGGCGCACCGCAGCGAATCAGCAGCAGACTGATTCCGAGAGTCGCTATTTCGTCGCTCTGTCTCTCTCGCACCCGCACGGGACGCCCCATGAATGCGAGAGGGACAGAGCGACGAAAACGACTCTCGGAATCAGTCCTCAGCCGAAGCCGCAGGCGGAAATCCCGGTCGTGGCGCCTTGAGAGCCTTGAGGCCGTGGGGCCCAGGGACTCCAGCGCCTCTTGCGGCCGGCCCGGGAGTTCCTGACGCAATTAGCTTGACGGGGGGCAAGGCTGGGGGGGGGGGGGGCTTCCCCGCGTCGTCTTCTTTTCCCTTTTGCAATTCATAGTCGTCGTTGAGCGAAGTGGCGACTCCGCAGGGGCTTGTCAGCGAGACTATGGGAGAGAGGGGGGGGGGGGCGTGAACGGCAGCGGACGGCTGCGCGGTGGATGAGAATACGCATCAAAGGCCGCGCCCGGCGCGCCTTGACAATGACTCGGAGGAATCGCCCCGTCTTGGCGAGAGAGAGAGAGAGAGAGAGAGAGAGAGAGAGAGAGAGAGCAGGCTGCTGCTGCTGCTGCTACTGGAAGTCCCACCCACACGGGAGGACCTATGAGCCGGAGAGAGCCAGGAGATGATGCTTGGTAGATTCGCTTGCCTCTCGAGACATGTCCCTCCTCCCATTCCATTCTCGCACGCACGGCTATCGGCATACAGCATCGCAGCGGGAGGTGTCTACGAGAGTACCTTTATTTTTCAGTTTTCTTCAGTATTGTGCGACCGGGTGCCTTTTTGTTTTTTGAGAAATTGCACGGCCGCCACGCCACTGCAAGGCGGTACAGCTGAGCTGGCTTTGTCACTGTGTCGCCGCGGGGGTTTCTGGCCACGCCACGCCACTGCGCGCTGGCCGCCCAAGCCGCTGGAGTGACGAGGTACCATTTTTTTCCGTCCCGCACTGACAAATGGAAGTTGTGCTCCCGCTTGGGCCGCTTCGGCCGCTTCAAGTCTACGGATGCCAATCGGGTCCGGCGTCGTCCGTCTCTCTCGCTCCGACGGACAATCGATGACCGGCGTCTCGCTCCGCCCCGCCGTGGCTAGTGACCGGCCAGAAGATCGTCCAAAACTCTAGACGCGTTTTGAGCTCCAGCGTCGCTAAATGGGACTCGAACCGAACGTGTGACCCCACCAATGGATTCCTCGTTCGGAGAGCAATCCATTGGTGGGGTCACACGTTCGGTTCGAGTCCCATTTAGCGACTCTGGAGCTCAAAACGCTTCTTGAGTTTTGTCCGCCTGCACTGGTCTTCTGGCCCACTGTGCGCCGGGACTCTCCGGCGGAGGCGGTGACGCCGGTAAAAAAGATGGAAATGCGAGCTGAGCGGGATGGAAGGTACATTTGCATTTGTCTCCGCGCTGCGCGGGGTGTTCCGGGGCGTTCCGGGGCGTTCCGGGGCGTTCAACGGCGTTCTGAATGGAATACCTTGTAAAATTCGAATCTGTCGCCGCCAGGCGGCGTTCCAAATGGATGGGTAAATTTGTATCCGTCGACGTAAGGGCGTTCCAGGGTGTTCCCCGGCGTTCTGGGGCTTTCGAGATGGAATGAATTGGTAGATTTGCATCCGTCGCGGCGGCGCGGCGCGGGGCGGGGCGGAGCGTTCCGCTCGGCGCGCCGCCTGCCGGGGTGCGCGTCGCCGCGTGTCGCGTGCCGCCGAGTCGCGGGGGATGATCCCCTAAGTGGCTTGGGGCGCCACGGCCGCCACGTCGACGTCGTCGGCCACGGAGACGTAATGAGTGCGGCTAATAGTCTGCCGACCAAAACTTGGTAATTCGCTTGTAAGGCGGGACAAGTGGCGCAGCCAGCCAAACTATCTAAGCGGCTCTGCCGCCATGCCTGGCCTTGCCTTGTTAGCGCCGCGACGCCGTTTGACTGGTTTGACACCGCCTTGGCCTGCAGGGGCACCAGCGGCATCGACATCGACCTCCGCCGCGTGGACATCGACCAGTGCCCGCTGCCCGAGGGATCCACGCAGCTCAACATCTTCGCCGCCTCCGACAAGTGCAAGAAGCGGACCACTGAGGTGAGTCAAGCCCGACGTCTCTGCTTTCATGTCACACTCGTTCGATTGCACATCAAGGGTCATACCTAATTTTGGGGCCCGTCTCAATCAAATGAACGAAAATCCTTGAAAAACGATATCCGCGGTTGGGTATTTGAACCCGGGTTCTTCGGTTTTGCAGTGCGCGCCCATCGCCGGGCTGGGCTTTCGCCGTGGCTCCTACCTGTGCGTCTGCAAGCCGGGCTTCTACTTCCCGGACACGCAGAGCAGCCAGCGCGCCTTCAACGGCAACCACATCGAGGAGGAGTACGAGAAACTCATCATGGTGAGTACCGCCGGCAAGCCGGGGCCTCAGCCGGGGCAGTGCGCCGCCGCCAGCGCCGCGCCTTTCAACGCGGAGGCTTACGACAGCCCGACCGCATGCGCCACAAAATTTGCATGAAAAGACAGAAAGCAGTTTTAGCCTCGTTTTCACACACGACTGCGGCCCGCGGTGTTATTATTTTCTGGTCAGCAGTTTAGCCAGTGGCGCGGCGTGCGTGCTGCGGCAGCACACCCACGCCAGCGCGGCCAGCGTCAACGAGTGTTTCGCTGACGGCGAGCGTTCGTGCCGGGTTCGCTCGCTGCGGTCCCCCTCCCCTCGCTACCCTTGCTGCCCGCCCTGCTGCCCGCCCTACCGGTGGCCCGGCGAGAAACTGGAGGTGGTTCCCGTATGCATGCACATGCGAAATTAGCGGACAATTAGAAGAAAATGGGGCTGCCTTCCGTGCGGCGGGGGCGTGGCGGGGCGTGGCGGGGTGCGGGGCCTGGGCTGCGGCGGCACCGCGCCCTCGTTGGGGTAGGCCAGGGCCAGGGTGGGGCCGGGCGAGGGTGAGGGGAAGGCGACGCCCGTTTTTCTGTTTGTATGCTTTATCTGGCTTCGCGCCGCCAGGGGCGCGGCCCCCCTCCTCCCTGACCCCCAGCTTGACGTTCAGCGTGCCGGGAAGGGCGCGCCGCGTCCCCCGCGCGCGGATCGGCGGCCCACAGTGCCGATGTGCCGATGTGCTCCGCGACGAGCAGCGCGTCGCCCCGGGCAGCGCGGCAGCGGACTGATTCCGAGAGTCGTTTCCGTCGCTCTGTCTCTCTCGCAGTCATTGGGCGTCCCGTATAGGCGCGACAGAGACGGCGCGACGCGAACGACCCTCGGAATCAGTCCGCAGCAGCAGCAGGCATCGGAGGCATGCTCTGGTAATTGGTGCGCGCGGCACGACTTGTTTCTGCTCAACTTGCTTCGACTGTTATTCACTCCAGCGTCGCGGCACGGCGCTGCCCGCGTCGCCGCGTCGCCGGGCGACGCTCCACAGACTTTTCGCCTCCAGCAGAACTTTGGGCTCGGGCTAAAGCTGGTCCTTGTCCTGCAGGGCGGGCCGGGCCGGCCCGGTGCCAGCTGGCGGCCCGCTGGCGGGACGACCACTCTTGTTTAATAACTCTTCTCCTCTCGAATCCCGGTCGAAAGTCCCACACTCCTCCTCCTTCTTTTCTTGTCCTCCGCCGTCGTTATGCGGTGAAAGGGCTGCCAGCTCGGCCGCGCCGCCGCGTGCCGCAGAGTGATTCCGCGAGTCGTCGCTCCGTCTCTCTCGCACTCGCGGCGCGTGCCGTGTTGGTGCGAGAGAGACGGAGCGACGGGAACGACTCCCGGAGTGAGGTGGCCGTCGCACAGTGGGCCAGAAGACCGGTGGAGGCGGTCAAAACCCAGGATGCGTTTTGAGCTCCAGAGTCGCTAAATGGGACTAGAACCGAACGTGTGACCCCACCAATGGATTCCTCGTTCGGAGAGCAATCCATTGGTGGGGTCACACGTTCGATTCGAGTCCCATTTAGCGACACTGGAGCTCAAAACGCGTCTAGAGTTTTGGCCGCCTCCACCGGTCTTCTGGCCCACTGTGCGGGGGAAGCCTCAAGGCGCGCCGCCGCGCATTCCGGCCATTCCGAGCGATTCGAGATTAATTAACGAAACAGTCGTCAGCACACCTCAGCGCGCCCATCAGCGACCACTCTGCCGCGTTCATTGTCCCCGCCGTGCCGTCTCGGCTCGGCTCGGCACCGCGGTCCTTCTTCCCTTTTCATTTCGCCCGTCAGAACGCGCATGGCGCAGGACCGTCCGAAAAAAGAAACAATTGAAAGGACGAGGAGTCTGCCATTTTTATGTTACTGTTTTAATCATTTTTTTCTCAGTTGTCTCTCCTGCGGCGCTACCACTTGAGCTTGAACGTGCCGCAAAGTGAGTGCACTTTGCCGCATATAGTGTCGGGTTTCGCGCGCGCCTCCCTGGACGGCCTCCCCGGACGGCCTCCCCGGAGAGCTTCCGCGCCGCAGCGGCGGTACGTGGTACCCGGCCGCGCAGCGCCAGTGTAGCGGAAGCGTAGCGCACTCGGCAAACAAACCCAAACTAATGGCGTACTCGTTACTATCGGCAGCCGCGGTGGTATATTCGCAGGATACGCGCGCTGGGCGAGCCGGGCCCAGGCGCAGCGCGCGCTGCGGATCCTTGACGGCGTCGTATCGCATCGCGGCAGAGATACGCCACGGCCGCGCCACTGCCGGCACTGCCTGGAGTCACGAAGGCCCCGCCGCCGCGCCGCCCCGCCCGGGAGTGCCCTATTTCATTGCACGGTGATTTAAGCGCCTCGCCTGACCCCGCGGGTCGCTGAGGCTGCCGAGCCGTGCGGGCCGTGCGGGGCGCACCTTAAATCCGAAGCTATTCCTACCGCCGCGCCCCGCCGCGCCCCGCCCCACCCCGCCCCACCCCGCGCCGCCCCGCCCCACCCCGCCCCACCCCGCCCCCCCCGCCCCACCCCGCCCCACCCCGCCCCACCCCGCCCCACCCCGCCCCGCGCCGCCCCACCCCGCCCCGCCCCGTTCCTGCCCCTTTTTTCTTGCCCCCCGCCAAGGCTGCTCATCCGTGGCTCCCACTTCCATTCTCCTGCCTCCCATATTTCGCCCTGCTAAGCTGCTAGGCCGGTATGAGAAATACCGCGGGCTGCCGCGCCGCGACTCTGGCTGCCGGCGGCGTCCTCCAGAGAGATCCCCCTGGCCGCCGCCGGCCGTAAGCAAGGCCGTGAACCGGCGGCGGTACGTAAAAGAAAAAAAGAGCAACTTTTAACACCCTTTTAAACTTGTTATGAAGGCAGTGCGTTTTTCGAGTCGGCCTCGGGTCCTCTCGTTCCAGCTACACAGGGCTTTCGAGCGACGGCCTTCGAGCAGGGGTTTGCTGGGCTTTCCTGCGCGGCTTTCCGACGTGTATCCACCTCGGCCGAGTGGCGTGCCTGCTGCATGTAGATGGGCTGGCTTTGTCAGTTCCAGACCCGAATAAAGATCGGCAAATCTTATTGAGATTCGCTCGCGGCCCTGGCCTGCCTGCCTGCCTGACTGACTGACTGACTGACTGACTGACTGACTGACTGACTGACTGACTGACTGACTGACTGACTGACTGACTGACTGACTGACTGACTGACTGACTGACTGACTGACTGACTGACTGACTGACTGACTGACTGACTGACTGACTGACTGACTGGGCGTCAGGCCGCCAGCTCGGTCCGCGCGGCCGTGCCTGGGCCTGGCCATGCTGGCCGTGCCGTGCTGGCCGTGCCGCCGCGCGCCGCCGTATGGAAAATCGCTGCGACGTGTGTGGGCGGTGCGCGCTGCGGTGGGCGACACCGGGTTTAGTCGTCTTGTTTATTCGCCTGAGCAGCGATATTGCTCGCAAACAGACGACTGCGGTCCGCGCCCAGCGTCGCCCAGCCGCACGGAGAAAACACCAAAACAACAACAGCAAAAACAAGAAAGTCAGGGGAAAAGTCGATGTCGCTTTGCTTTGGGTTGGCGGCCTGGCACCGCCGCCCTGTGCCGGTGTAGTGGTCGCGATAAACTGTCGGGCGCTTTCGAAATGAATTCCCACCGCCGAGCTGGGCGCGCTGCGCTCGGGGGCTCCGAAATGACTGCGCCTCGCTACGCACAGTGGGCCAGACGATCGTGGAGGCGGCCAAAACTCAAGACGCGTTTTTAGCTCCAGAGTCGCTAAACAGGACTCGAACCGAACGTGTGACCCCACCAATGGATTGCTCTCCGAACGAGGAATCCATTGGTGGGGTCACACGTTCGGTTCGAGTACCATTTAGCGACTCTGGAGCTCAAAACGCGTCTAGAGGTTTGGCCGCCTCCACCGGCTTCTGGCCCACTGTGCTACGCCCCGCTCGGCCTGCCCCGCTCGGTCGCGATTCATCCTCCGCTTTAAAGTAATCAAGTGGCAAATGTTCCTCCCGAGCGCGGCGAGCGGAGCGAGCGGAGCCTCCTCGCGGCGTGTATCGAACGCCGCGTAAATCACAGCACCATAATCTTCATATCGGCCCTTCCGTCCGCGGCGCAGTCTCTCTCTCTCTCTCCCTCTCTCTCTCTCTCTCTCTCTCTCTCTCTCTCTCTCTCTCTCTCTCTCTCTCTCTCTCTCTCTCTCTCTCTCCTCTCCCTCTCTCTCTCTCCTCTCCTCTCTCCCTCTCTCCCTCCCTCTCTCCTCTCCCTCTCCTCTCCCTCCTCTCTCTCCCTCTCTCCCTCTCTCTCCCTCTCTCTCTCTCTCTCCCTCTCTCCCTCTCTCGTCCTCTCTCTTTCGCTCCCACTCCCTGGCAGGCGAGGGTGGCGGCGCGGTGCCGCCCTGATCAGACCGGGGCTCGGCCTGCTCGGCAGGCTTAATTAAAACGCCAAGGAAATGGGAGTGTCACTCGCGAAGCAATACGGGCAGCCGAATGAAGGCGCCAAATTATCTTCGCGGGTATTTAAATGAGCGCCGCGGCACGCCACGCCAACATAAATCTCCGACAATATAATCCAATAGTGGCGCTGTCGTCGTGGCGCGCGCGACGCCGCCGACGAGGCCATGTTGGGCCTCGTCGTCGCGGATCCGCCCCGCCACAGTGGGCCAGAAGACCGGTGGAAGCGGACAAAACTCTAGACGCGTTTTGAGCTCCAGAGTCGCTAAACGGGACTCGAACCGAACGTGTGACCCCACCAATGGATTGCTCTCCGAACGATGAATCCATTGGTGGGGTCACACGTTCAGTTCGAGTCCCATTAAGCGACTCTGGAGCTCAGAACGCGTCCTGGATTTTGAGCGCCTCCGCCGGTCTTCTGGCCCACTGTGCCCGCCCGGCCCCGCGCGGCCGCGTGACACGAGTCGCTTATTGCAATTAACTTGGCGCGGTGCTCCATGACTCGCGCGGCCCCCTGTCTTTGCCGCGGGGCGCGTCTCCGTCCTTTCTCATAAAGGCGAGTGACTGCGGCCGTAACGTCTTGCTCCGCACCTGCCCGTCCCGCCTGTCTCGCCTGTCCGCCCCGCCTCGCGCAGCCTCGCGCACCCAAATTATTCGCCAGCGTTGCCATCCACCGCTTGCGCGTGTTATGAAGTCTGGGTGGCGGTGCACCGCGGTGTGAGGCAGCCCGCCACGCCACGCCCCGCCCCGCCCCGCCCTTCCACGCCACGCCCCGCCACGCCCCGCCACGCCCCGCCACGCCCCGCCCCGCCACGCCCCATCGCATTCGCTTTCGTGCAATCGGGTGGCTGCGGGTGGCTGCGGCACGCCGCGCTGCGCAGAACGCAGCATCACTACAAGGTGGCCCCATCTGCGCCGCCTGCAACGCCCTGCACTGCAAGGCCCTGCTGGCCCCCCGGGCCGCCCAATAAGCACGCCGAGTGCGCGCTGGTTAGGCGCCTCCCGAGACTGCCGGGCCAAAAGGTTGCCAAAAGGAATGGCATAGGGCTGTCGGTGGGAAGCTTGCTGAGCGTCTCCAATGACCCTCAATAGGATTGCCAAAGGAATGGCATAGGGCTGTCGAAAGCCTGGTCGGCAAAGGGCTGCCCGAGGTTCGCGGGCCGGAAGGGTCACCTGCATCCCGTGGCCGCACAGTGGGCCAGAAGACCGCTGCAGGCGGTCGAAATCCCGAACGCGTTTTGAGCTCCAGAGTCGCTAAGTGGGACTCGAACCGAACCTGTGACCCCACCAATGGATTCCTCGTTCGGAGAGCAATCCATTGGTTGGGTCGCACGTTCGGTTCTAGTCTTCTGGCCCACTGTGGGCCGCCAGAGGGCTACCCAAAGTGCCTCCAAAGGACTGCGCCGGGCTTTGCTAGTGTCGCGGTCGCCGATGACCTTTGCCCGCTCCCCGCAGGACAGTCCGGGACGCAAGCAGGGCGTCTCGCCTCGCCTCCTCTCGCGCCTCGCCGCAGCGGGACGGCTCCCTGGCGGGGTTTAAAACTCGGGGAGTCCTCGCCAGATGCAGCGCCCCGTCATCCCGCCAAGGCCAAGCACTTGGACGCGGCGACGGCGTGCAGCATGGCGTGGAGCATGGCGTGGAGCATGGCGTGGAGCATGGCGTGGAGCATGGCGTGGAGCATGGCGTGGAGCATGGCAAGGCGCATTGCCACGCCAGCGGAGTCCCTTCGCGAGGCTGTGTGCCCCGCCCCGCCACGCCCCGCCCCGCCGCCGTCAAGACACCCCGAACGACCTCGCGTCCCCGCCGGGCATCACGACTCAATCTGGCCGAGGCGGCGGGCACGCGTGGCAAGAAGGCGGAGTGGAAGGGCTGCTGTGAGGGAAGGGGGGGAGGGGGCACGGCCAGAAAAAGGACCCGTTTGCTTGGCGCTGCAAAACCGTGGGAGAGCGAGCCAGCCCGTAAGATGGGTATGCAAATAAGGGACGTATGAGAATAAATGAGTGCGGGGCGGGAGTGTGCAGCCGAGCGCGAGTCTCCGCCATTCCGCGCGAACGGCCTCTCTGCGTCGCTCTCGCACACTCGTGGCGCTCCGGGGTCGTGCGAGAGAGACAGGGCGACGGCCTGCAGTGGTGCGACGCAGCGGCGGCAACCCTTCTGCCGCAGCAGACTGATTCCTTGCTAAGGCCCGTGTCGTCGCTCTGTCTCTGTCGCCCCCGTGTGGCGTTCCGTAGCGGAGCGAGGGAGACAGCCACTGCTCGGCATCGCCCGGCAGCCACACAGTGGGCCCGAAGACCGGTGGAGCGGCCAAAACTCTAGGCGCGTTTTGAGCTCCAGAGTCGCTAAGGAGGACTCGAACCGAACGTGTGACCCCACCTTGGGATTGCTCTCCGAACGAGGAATCCATTGGTGGGGTCACACGCTCGGTTCGAGTCCCGTTCAGCGACTCTGGAGCTCAAAACGCGTCTAGAGTTTTGGCCGCTCCACCGGTCTTCTGGCCCACAGTGAGCCACCAGGGCCTCCTCGAGGCGGTCTGGCCCGCGGCAGTGAGACAAGAGGGGCCAATACTGTCGGAATGAAGGCGAGGCGCCACAGGTCCGAGCCCTCCAGCCGCCAGCAGCCAGCTTCCAGGCCACAGCGCCACAGCCAGCAGCATAATACACTCCATATCCTTCCCCAGAGCCGCGCCGAGCCGCGCCGAGCCGCGCGCGCGGCCAGCTTAAACCGTGTTGCCAATTTCGCGCCACCGCGCCCCCGGGAGGCGGTAGCAGGCCGAGAGGCCGCGGCCCCGGACCGGAGTCTCGACGGCGTGCTCAGCGGGGCGCGCGGTTTCGGCGGGCCTCCGCACCGATCACGACCTTCTCGGCGCGGACAAGGTCGCGTGCCGCTACACGCGAAGAAGTATGCAATCACCACGCGTGTGGATAATCGGACGCGACTTGCCCTCGGCTGCGCGAAGCTGTGCGGCACTGTGCGACGTACAGTGTGCGTGGCGACTTGGTGAGTGTGGGCGCGCTCACGCATGTCGTCCCTCCCGCCCCCCGTTCCTTGAAAGGAGACGCGTAGCGGGTGGCGGCGAAGGCAGGCGGCCGCGGCCGGGCCAAGGTGAGATTGCTTTCGGATCTGTCTATAATATATAATCCGGCCGTCCGCGCTCCGCGCTCACGCGCTCACGCGCTCCTCCCCAGCATGGCTGCCGCCGCTCCACAGTGGGCCAGCAGACCGGTGGAGGCGGGCAAAATCCCGCACGCGTTTTGAGCTCCAGAGTCGCTAAATGGGACTCGAACCGAACGTGTGACCCCACCCATGGATTGCTCTCCGAACGAGGAATCCATTGGTGGTGTCACACGTTCGGTTCGAGGCCTGTTTAGCGACTCTGGAGCTCAAAACACGTCTAGAGTTTTGTGCGCCTCAGCCGGTCTTCTGGCCCACTGTGCGCTCCGCGCGGCTCCCAGCCCGTTATTCGCAGCACAGGTGAAATTGCCCGCCCGTTTCGCCGCGCTGATGAGTTGTGATAAAGTAGGGCCGCCGCGTGAGGCCCGTGGAGCGCGGGGGGAAAAATGGCGGAAAAAAGAGTGAAGAAAGGCGTCAAGTTGAGCAGCATACGGTATCGATGTGCGCGTTGGCCCCGCCGCGCCCCGCCCGCCCCCCGCCCCGCCCCGCGGGCGTGCTGTCGCCGTAATGGGCCCACCCCACGTGCCGCGAGCCCCGGAAGGGAAATATGGAGACGGAATGGACGGCACGTAACCAGTCCGGCACAAAGTTCGCTCTTTAAAAGTTGCCGCAGACGCATGGGGCACGGGGCCGCACGGGGCCGCGGGTCCCCACGACGCGACGGCCGACCCGGAGCCGAACGGGAACCCCTCCCCGCGGACACTTTTCCTCTCCACGCCGTTCCAGAAACTGAGAAGCGTTTATTTGATTTTGGTCTTGTTGTTGTTGTTGTTGTTGTTGTTGTTGTTCACTCTAAATGTCTTACGAAGAAATTTCCCATAATACGAAGAAAATGGCGCAAGCATAGTACGAAGGTGTTTTTTCTTCGTATTACGAAGGTTTTTCTTTGTATCTTACAATGAAAAATCAGAAAAGATTCGTATTACGAAGAAATATTGCTTCGTATTATGCTTGCGCCGAATCCACTGTAACATACGAATAACATAGGTCAAATTTCATTGTAAGACATTTAGAGTGTTGTTGTTGTTGTTGTGTCAGTTCACTCAGCGTTTTGGTCCATTCACCTTTTCACCTCACTTTTTTAAACATTGTTTTTTTATTTAAGGTTTTTGTCGTTGTGCGTGTTTTGTGGTCTGCGCTGTGAGGATGTGTGCGAGCGCCCCGACTGACCCATCGTCTCCTTGTTGGTCCCCAGGGCACCGAGTCGTCGTACAAGAAGCCCGGCGCCTTCGAGTGCCTGCAGTGTGCCGAGGGGTGCGAGGTCTGCGAGGACGACCGGCCGTGCGTGGTGACGCTCAACTGGGCCATGCGCACCGCGCTGCTCGTCATCGTGTGCGTCATCATCCTGTGCCTGCCCGCCGTCGTGGTCTTCACCTGGAAGTACGGCCACGTCAAGGTCAGTATCGCAGCCTCGCGCGGTCCACAGTGGGCCAGAAGACCGGTGGAGGCGGACAAAACTCTAGACGCGTTTTGAGCTCCAGAGTGGCTAAATGGGACTCGAACCGAACGTGTGACCCCCACCAATGGATTGCTCTCCCAACGAGGAATCCATTGGTGGGGTCACACGTTCGGTTCGAGTCCCATTTAGCGACTCTGGAGCTCAAAACGCGTCCTGGGTTTTGACCACCTCCACCGGTCTTCTGGCCCACTGTGCGGCCGTGGAGAGGGGAAAAAAGGCAGAATCTTTGCACGGCGGCGGGTAATTTTTTGCTGTCAGACTCACTGGAAAGCGAATCCGGGGTGCGCGTTGGAAAAAAAATTCAGCGCGATCGAGCAGAGCCCCAGTGGCGCAGCGAGGTTTTCCGAGCGTCCTTTCGCGGCGCCGCCGACGCGGGCCGGGGTCTAACCCTTTTCCCTACGCCTCCGCACTCGGCTCGCTCACACGGGAACAAAAAAAATCAAAGTTTTCTCCGCGACGTCGGCCTCGCGCGTCATAATAAATCTGGCGAATTTGCGTGGGTGGCCGCGGTCTGGGAGGGGGCGGGGGAGGGTGGCACTGGGCCCCGCGGGGTGGCCCGCCATTGGCCACGTGCCCACCGGCCGCTGTCCCCTCTATCGCCCGCGCGTCCGTCTATAAACGCCGCCAATGATTCTCTGTTTTACTCGCCGCGGCCCGCTGCGGTCATCGATTTCGGAGCGCGCTTCAGTCCGGCGGGCCTCGACGGCGACGGCCTCCTCGGGGTGCTAGTGCGGCGGGGAGCGCCGTGTTGCAGTGCAGGCGGGCATGTGTCGGGCCCGAAATGGCATACTCTCATGTGTGATCTAGCCCTTAATGGTAATGGTAATGGGGAGCGCCGTGGCGGTAGGCAAAGCGCAGCGAAGCCGCGCACGCCCGTGCGGCGGGCTGCCTATCGTCCGTTCCGCGGGCGCCCTGCGCCTTGCGCCTTGCGGTTGCGGTTGCGGCCTCCGATGCCGCGGCAACTGATAGAGACGCCCTTGCTGCGGCCTGCTGGCCGCTTGGCCAAGGCCGGGCCGAGTCCAGGCAGAGGCCCGTGGCACGGCGTGTTGTCCGTGACCGGAAATGAGCGCTCAGCGCGAGGCCGGGCCTGGATCCGGTGACGGACGAGGCCTGGCTGGCCGAGGCCCCCGCCCCGCCCCCGGGGAGGGGCTTCCCCTCGCCGCGCCGCTCGCCCCGCTCGGACTATCAGTGTGCGCGTCACATATGCAAAATCCGGACTCTTTCTACCCTCCCCTTCGCTGTCGCTGTCATTGTCATTGCAGTGTAATGGGCCGTGCTCGGGCCAGGGTGTAGTGTAGCGGTGCACGCGGTGCACGTGGCGTGGGTACCGCGTGTGCGCCCAGATGGGGACTTGGCGGTGGCGGCGTGCCACGGCCTTGCAGTGCGGGCGACGCGAGGCCCACCACACTGGTGTGCCGTCTTACCCGCGCGTTCCGCTCGGTAACGGCGCGCGGCGCTGCGTGGCGCCGGCAGGACACTGATGCCGAGAGTCGCTTCCGTCGTCCTGTCTCTCTCGCACTCGCAGGGCGTCCCGTACAGGCGCGAGAGAGACAGAGCGACGGAAACGACTCTCGGGATCGGTCTGTAGCGTGGCAGCGGGCGGCCCTGGTGCGGCGGCAGCGGGCTGCTTCCGAACGGCGCCGTCTCTCTCGCACTCGCGGGGCGTTGCACACAGGTGCGAGAGAGACAGCGCGACGGAGCCGCCGTTCCGAATGAGGCTGCAGGGCGCGCAGGGCGGTGGCATGCACACCGAGTGCCGCAGAGTCGCGTGGAGAGGCGGGGCGGGGCGGGGCGGGGGGGGCGGGGCCGCGCACTGCGACACGGCGGACACGCCCTCGCCTCGATCGGAAGCAATACTGAGGAAGTGGCATCGAAGGCAGCAGGCGGCAGCAGGCAGAACGCCCTGGGCGCCTGCCCGCCCGCCCGCCCCGCCCCCCACACCCCGCCCCACCCCGCCCCACCCGCCCCACCACGCCACACCCCGCCCCACCACGCCCCCCCGCCCCACCCCGCCACGCCCCCGCACACCCCCCCCGCCACGCCACACCCCGCCCCACCACGCCACGCCCCGCCACGCCACACCCCGCCACACCCCGCCCCACCACGCCACGCCCGCCTCGCCCCGCCACGCCAATCCGTGACACGGACAGTCGCTTTCTCTCGAGACGCGGATGGAAGATGAGTGTTTTCTCGGGAACCGTTAGGGTTAGGCGCTGAGAAGCCCCCCCCCCCCTTTCCCTCACCTCGTCGCCCGAATCACGCGCGGGCCGCGTGGCTGCATAGCGGTGCCGGGGCCCCATTAAAGGGGCCGGCCGAATAATAAAATAGTGATGCACGGCCAAAGTTCCGCCGCTCGTTTACGTAATTTTTTAAATGAAAGAAGTGTTAACAGGGAGAATTTTTAATGGGTACTTTGTTGTTGGGTTTTATTTGCTTTCTTGCCCCCTACCCCTTTTTTTCGCGTGTACGACCGCCTCTCTTCATCAATCTTCCAAGTTTTTTCAGAACAGCAGGGAAATATTGCCTGGCGCGTTTCTCGCTTCGCGCCGCGTGGTCAGCCGGTTGGCGAATGTCCGCGGGAATGCCTGGCGGTGCCTGGGTCGCGCTAACGGGGATGATTTAGTGGTCCGGCCGCCTTGCGCCTTCGGCCGGCCCGCAGTGGGCCAGAAGACCGGTCAAAACTCTAGACGCGTTTTGAGCTGCAGAGTCGCTAAACAGGACTCAAACCGAACGTGTGACCCCACCAATGGATTACTCTCCGAACGAGGAATCCATTGGTGGGGTCACACGTTCGATTCGCTCCGTCTCTCTCGCACCCCTGCGGAACGCTCCACGAGTGCGAGGGAGACGGAGCGACGAACGCTGTCGCAATGAGCGTGGACCGCCCTTAACCGGACCGCGCCACCTGCGTGTCTTTTGCGGTGTGCGCGCGCCGCGGTGCGCCGCGGTGTGGGATTTGAACCATCGGGCTTTACTTGTTGTAGCTCCGGTTTCCAGTGTGCTCCCCTCGGCGGCGCTGCGGTGCGCGGCGGTGCTTGGCAAGCGCGACACGAGCCGGGAACTGACACGCTCGCCGACACTGTTACTGTCGAGCGATTCCGCCCGCCGCCCCTCGCTCCGTCTCTCTCGCACTCACGGGGCGTGCCGATGGGGTGCGAGAGAGACGGAGCGAGGAGTGCTGGTGGCGGGATCGCTCGGCCACGTACAAAGAGCACATCACAGTGTGGCGGTGCGCCGCTATATGCACTGGGCGGGGCGCGAGCGGCCCCAGCAGGCGTGCAAGGGACTGCCGCACTGCCAGCGCCAGGCTGCACCAGGCGCTCTCTCTCTCTCTCTCTCTCTCTCTCTCTCTCTCTCTCTCTCTCTCTCTCTCTCTCTCTCGCACTCATGGGGCGTCCGTGTGGGAGCGAGAGAGACAGAGCGACGGGGATCGCCGTGCAGGCCAGCGCCGGGCGGACAGCGGCGACAATTTTGCTCGCGCACCCCGCACCCCGTCCGGGGCAGCAATATCTGGGGCAGGGCTGGCAGGGCCTGGACTGCGCGGCCCGGGCGGTGAGGCTTGGCGACGACCGTCGCTGCGTCGCGGAGCTACATCGTGATGCTAAGCGGGCCGAGCGGCGTCCCCAGGGCGGCCGGGCCGGGGAGGCCAGCGAGGCCGGCGGGCCTTTCCTAATTGCCAGTAGGGACGTTCTAAATTCGGCGGGGCGAGGGAAGGCCAGTGGAGGCGAGGCGTGGTGCGAGACGCACGCTGGGGAATGTGTTTGATTCAGATGCAAATTGAAAGGTAAGTGGCTGCACCCTGCCCGGCCATGGCCTGGCCTCCCCCAAGGCTGCCTCCAGGCAGGAGCCTCTCCCCGTCTGTTTCTCCTCGCCACGCCTTGCCACGCCACGCCTCGCCACGCTTTGCCACACCTTGCCACGCCACGCCTTGCCACGCGCGCCCCTGCCAAAGGATCCTCTCAAATCGGAGCCTGCCGCACGCCGCCCCGCCGCGCACGCGAACCGGCCTTGTTTCTACTCCAGCCTCCTACTCCAGCTTGCTAGCTCCCGCTTGACTCAGATTCCGTCCCGCTTCCCGCCTCATTCCTTCATCAGTGGGCTTCAGTGGACTCGCTCCGCCTGGGGTAAAGCCGTCTGGTGCGAGCTTTTTTTCATGTTTTTCTATTTTACTATTTTTTTTAAGTTCTCTTTTTTTTGTGTTTTACTATTTTTCCCAGCGTTGGCATTGTAGCGACGCCAGGCGGTTGACCTGGATGTGTATGTGTGTGTGTGTGTGTGTGTGGGAGTGTGTGTGCTCGGGGACTAACTAAAGGGGACGCCATCCTTGTCGTCTGCAAGCCCTTTAATAAGAGTTTATGACTAGGTTTGGCTACCGACTACATTACGCCGGGGAGGTACGGTACCCACTCTTGGCACCCCTCGCGCACCGCGCGCCGACCCAAGTGCTTTTCCTGTTCGCCCCCGCCACCGCTTCCATCTACAGCGCCGCCTCCAGCGCCACCCTCACCTCCAGCACCACCTCCAGTGCCACCTCCAGCACCACCTCCAGCGCCACCTCCAGTACCACCTCCAGTACCACCTCCAGCGCCACCTCCAGTACCACCTCCAGCGCCACCTCCAGTACCACCTCCAGCGCCACCTTCAGTACCACCCCAGTACCACCTCCAGCGCCAACTCCAGTACCACCTCCAGTACCACCTCCAGCACCACCTCCAGCACCACCTCCAGCACCACCTCCAGCGCCACCTCCAGCACCACCTCCAGCACCACCTCCAGCACCACCTCCAGCACCACCTCCAGCACCACCTCCAGCACCACCTCCAGCACCACCTCCAGCGCCACCTCCAGCACCACCTCCAGCACCACCTCCAGCACCACCTCCAGCACCGCCTCCAGCATCGCCGGCGACGACGGCGCCGAGACCTGCTCGTTACCTTCATGGAGTGCTGCGCTAAACGTGCGATGCAAGCGTGCGCACGTTAAAAGAAGAAAAAAAGTCAGAGGAATAATATCTACCAATTTGTGTTCGCAGGTGGTGCGCGCGGCCAGCCCGGTGCTGCTGCGCGTCATCGCGCTGGGGGCCTTCTTCATCTACTGCACGGTGAGTCCCGAATGTGGAGAGCACCGCCAATTGGCGCTGCCGCCTCAGCAGACTCGGCACAGCGTCTCTCTCGCACTCACGGCCCTCGCCCCAGAGGTCCGACAGAGACAGCAAATCAGTCTGCAGCCGGAACCGCTGCAGGCCGGAACCGGAAGCCAATCGCGCTGCCGCTGTAGCGCGTGTTTTCTTGCTGTTTTGTTGTTTTTTCGCGCGCGCGTTTTATTTTGTTTTCTCTTACTCTCTCTCTCTCTCTCTCTCTCTCTCTCTCTCTCTCTCTCTCTCTCTCTCTCTCTCTCTCTCTCTCTCTCGCCCACGCCCGCCCTTCGTTCCGCTTCCTTTGGGTGTCTTCTCGCTCGCGCGCCCCTCCAACTTGAAGCGCAAACAGCACGCCACGCCGCGGCAGCCAGCGGCAGCACGGCCCGTTGTTGGCATCCGGGGCACGTAGCACGCCGCGCCCTGTCGCTGTCGCCCCACCCCGCCCCGCCCCGCCTCGCCCCGCCCCGCCCCACCCCGCCCCACCCCGCCCCGCCCGCGCACGCCCGCGCACGCGCGCGCCGTATATGCAGCCGGCATAAGTACCTGACAACCGACTCCCCGATCTCAATTTGCCTTTTATTGGTTCGCCTTCCTGTTCTTGTTTGTTTCCGCTGTTTGTCAGTGGCGTGGTCCTTTCTTTTTTTCCTGTTGACCGAGATTTGTATCGTGCACAACCTGCATACGGGCGCAACTCGACTGTCAACCAAAAAAAAAAAAATTCTTGGAAATTCCCCCCAAAAAATCGGAGGAAAAATTCCCTGCGATCTTTGTCGATTTCAAACAACTGCAGCTTTACTTTGCGTTTCCATTATGCATTCATGCTTTTCCGATAGGTGTAGCACACAAATTCAATCCTTTTCAAAATTGAATCTGCCCGAAATTTCCGACAGAGCTTTAGAGGACACTTTCCATAATGTTCTATTTTACAGGATTTTTTTTTGTATTTTTAACAGTACGATCCAATAATTTTAAAATTTCTCAAACTTGGTCGTGTCTTGTGAATGTTGCAGAACATCGTGATGTACTTCGAGCCGCACGTGGTGACGTGCACGCTGCGGCTGTGGCTGCGCGAGATCGGCTTCTCGCTCACCTACGGCGCCCTCATGCTCAAGACCTGGAGGTGAGAGCGCGGCTCGTCCCTACGGCAGGCCGGCGCACAGTGGGCCAGAAGACCGGTGGAGGCGGCCAAAACTCTAGACGCTTTTTGAGCTCCAGAGTCGCTAAATGGGACTCGAACCGAACGTGTGACTCCACCAATGGACTGCTCTCAGAACGAGGAATCCATTGGTGGGGTCACACCTTCAGTTTGAGTCCCATTTAGCGTCTCTGCAGCTCAAAACGCGTCTAGAGTTTTGGCCGCCTCCACCGGTCTTCTGGCCCACTGTGCGGCGGGCCGGCGGGCCGGTGGGCCGGCATAGCAAGCCCCCCCGGGGGACGCTCGACGCACGAGCGGGGCACGTTAAAAATTCAGACAGGGAATCTGAGCCCGACGATGCCTGCGACTCTAGTTAAGGGAGAGGCCCGGTCGGGAGGAAGGCGCCACCTGCCTGGAACGCACGTGAAGTGAGCGGAGGGGGTGGGGGACGGGGGTAGTTCCGGAGCAGGGGAGGGTTATACTATTAGCTTGCGTTGGAATGGGGTAACAAGTTGCCTGGGCCCACACACACATCCACACACACACTCACACACACACTCACACACACGTCTAGAACACGTGTTCTCAGCAGGTACCGTGCACCGCTCCCATTGTCGGTGCTGTGCGCTGGGAGAGGCCGATGTAGTTCCGGAGGACGCCGTCAGGGGCGGCGGAGGCGGCGGGGGCGGACGGGGCGCTCGTGCTTGATCGCGCAGCACTTTGCTCATGTTTCGTGCACCGCCTCGCGGCCCTGGCGGCCCTGGCGGCCCGGCCGCAGACAATTGATGGAGTTTCTATCGCCTCTATCTGCCGGGCTTGTATCGCCTCTGCGTTCTATCCGCCGCCAAGTTGGTCGTGATTTGGGCGTTGCTTGTGCTGCTCGCGGCAGGCCCCTTCGTAATCAGTGTCCAGGCCTATCGGTCCTACCGCGGGCGTCCGCGTCCAAGTTACAATTACGGCGTCCACGGGGCGTCCCCCTCCCACCGCCTCGGCGCGGCGTGGCGTCCTCCATGCCGCCACGCCCCCTTCAGATAAATAACAATGTCTTCTTTTTATATCCTTCCCGAGTCCCGTGATGAAAAAGCGCGCCGGCAGATAGCGTCGGACACCGTCGTGGCGGCGGTGCATAGCGCCCCCTCCCCCTCGGCCAGGTCGGCGTCGGCGGGGATGCGCCACTGTTTTCCCGGCCCCGGCCGTCCCTGGCCCCCAGTTGGTGTCCTCCAAGATCCGCGCGTCCGGGGCGACGAGCCTGGCGCGGCGTGGCGGGGACTGCCGTCGCTGGAGGCGCCGTGTCTCTCCTTCCTTACGACGCGTCACCAGCATCCGGCCATCCGGCGAGTGCAGCAGCATCCGGCAGCGCCAAGGCGAACGCCAAGGCGAACGCCAAGACGAACGCCGTGCTGCCGGCCGGCCCGCTGAGCAGCCGAGTGCTGCGCGCTGCCTACCCGCCGGACTGCAGGGGCTCTGTCGTGCTGGCCGTGGAGACGACGGGGGGAGGCGGCCAAATCTCTAGACGCATTTCGGGTTGCAGAGTCGCTAGACAGGACTCGAACCGAGCGTGTGACCCCACCAATGGATTGCTCTCCGAACGAGGAATCCATTGGTGGGGTCACACGTCCGGTTCGAGTCCTATTTAGCGACTCTGGAGCTGAAAACGCGTTTAGAGTTTTGGCTGCCTCCACCGGTCTTCTGGCCCACTGTGCGGCGGCACCACGAGATTTCTCATCCTCGCTCTTTTGCCGCCAGGATCTCCGTCATCTTCCGCGTGCGCTCCGCCAAGGCCGTCAAGATCACGGACCTGGACCTGGTGAAGCGCGTGGGCGCCATCCTGGGCGCGTTCGGCGTGCTGCTGGCGGTGCGCACACTGGTGGACCCGCCGCCCGTCATCGTGGGCCGCACCGCCGACGACCTCAAGGCCTTCCTGTGCCGCACCGACTGGTGGGACCACTGCTTCACCACGCGTAAGTAGTTTGGACTTGAGAATGCGCCTCCATTTTGCAGCTCGCTCGCCTCGCCGCACTGCGGAGGGGAGGCGCTGCACAGTGGGCCAGAAGACCGGTGGAGGCGGTCGAAACTCTAGACGCGTTTTGAGCTCCAGAGGCGTTAAACAGGACTCGAACCGAACGTGTGACCCCACCAATGGATTGCTCTCCGAACGAGGAATCCATTGGTGGGGTCACACGTTCGGTTCAAGTCCATTTTAGCGACTCTGGAGCTCAAAATGCGTTCGGGATTTTGACCGCATGCAGCGATCCCCTGGCCCACTGTGCGCTGCCGGGGAGGCACTGCGGCGTGGTGGCTTGACCTCCTCGTCGGTCCATTAGCCGAGACGCATCCCGACAGACACACACTTTGACAGACACGAGCGTCACGGGACGGGCAGCGCGTCGCGCGCTCAGCGATGACGGCGTTCGCTGACGCCAGTGTCGCCGCCTGCCCCGAGTTTCCCGCCCGAGGCATTAATTTCGTGAATTAGTACGTAGCGAGTCCGTCCGCGGTGTGGCGCGCGGCGTCGCGACGACGTGATTGGAGTAAACCTCTTGCGCGGCCCGCGGGGGCTTAGAGGAGGGGCTTATTGGCCTTGCTCGCTCCGCTCGCTCTGCTCCACGAATGATGCATGACACCCGAGTCCGTCGAGCACTTCTCGCGGCGTGGCGGCTTGGCGGCGAATCACAGAGCGAGAGGGCGTCCCGACCCGTCTACAGTGTGCCCGCACCATCAGCAGCGCACACACGGTCGATTACTTAACAAGACTTAGGATCCCACGAAGGTAACGGTGTACCGCGCGCTACGTGGCTGCGGGGAAGGGCAACTGCAAACAAGCTGAGACCCCCGCAGTGGGCCAGAGGACCGGTGGAGGCGGCCAAAACTCCAGACACGTTTTGAGCTCCAGAGTCGCTAAACAGGCCTCGAACCGAATGTGTGACCCCACCAATGGATTGCTCTCCGAACGAGGAATCCATTGGTGGGGTCACACGTTCGGTTCGAGGCCTGTTTAGCGACTCTGGAGCTCAAAACGCGTCTAGAGTTTTGGCCGCCTCCACCGGTCTTCTGGCCCACTGTGCGCCGCCAGGCCGTCAGGCCGCCAGCGCCAGCCAGCAGGCCGATGCCGAGCCGTGCCGTCGTCACTCCGTCTCTGTCGCACCCTTGCCGGTGCGGGACGCCCCCTCGATAGAGTCCTAGAGTGCGAGAGAGACGGAGCGACGCAGGCACGGTGTTTGAATGGAGCCAGCCAGCGGCGTGCCGTGCCGTCCGTGCCGTGCCGTCCGTGCCACACGTCAGAGTCGGTTAGGCTGGTTAGGCCGGTCGCTCTGGCGCGGGCGGCGCGTCGTTGCCGTTTATCACGATGACAGCGCCGTGTCGATTTCGACCCCCAATAAACGGCAGTCCCGCCCCGTCAGCTTATTTCTCTCCTTCCCACATCGCCGCACGCACGGCCACTCACACACGCACGCACACACACACACACACACACACACGCACACACTTTTTTTTAGGGGCGCGCGCCGACACCGCTCTTTACGCAGTTTGTAACGACGCCGGGGACGCGGACGAAGCGAGGCCGCGCGCCTGTCCACCCAACGCCAGCCAAAGTTGCGCGTGGTCACCGCTCACACACACACACACACACACACACACACACACACACACACACAAACACACACACACACAGCTAAACAAACGCGGGACTGATTTACAACTCCATCCGCGCCTTCTGTCGGGACACATAACAGCCACAAAAAGTGTTGATTTATAAGTTAATATCCCCTGTTATCGCGCAGTCCTGGAAGTTGTTCGGGTTGCTGGCGGGCCGGGCGGGGCAGGGGCAGGGCAGGGCAGGGTACAGCACGGCGTCGTCGCCCCCCCCCCCAGATTTGGGCCACTTACGCTCGGCGATTAGCCATTCGGGGCCCACCGCTACACTGGAAGGGAAGGGCTGGAAGGGAAGCGGCACTGCTGCTGGAGGACCATGCAGGACGCAGGTGGGGCTCGGGGGCTCGCCGTACCCGGTGCCACACCGCGCACCGCCGCGCGCGACGCCGAGGCGTCAATCTGCAGACAGATTCCGGGATTCGTTGTCGTCGCTCTGTTGCGAGAGAGACAGAGCGACGACGATGACTCTACAGTGTGCTAGCCGTTCGGAAGGTCGGAAACACAGCACCCACGGCGCGTCGCGTTGTTTCGGACTGTTTCGGGCGAATTCCCACCCTCTTTTCTCCCTCTCTGGTGGAGGCCGTTGGTTTGTTTTTAACACCGACCACCTCTCTCAGGGCGAGAGCGGCCCGCGCCTGTATGCAGATTGACTGTCTGTCTGTGTGTGTCTGTGTGCGCGCGTTCCCGTGCTCGAGCTTGCGCGCCCCCAGGCCGCCCTGGCCCCCTCCCTAAAGTGGCCGGTCCTGAAGGGGCTTGCCCCCGGGCTTGCCCGTTAAGCGGATGCCGCGTGGGAGACGGTAGGCTGGCTGACGGGGCACAGTGGGCCAGAAGCCGGTGGAGGCGGCCAAAACTCTAGACGCGTTTTGAGCTCCAGAGTCGCTAAACAGGCCTCGAAACGAACGTGTGACCCCACCGATGGATTCCTCGTTCGGAGAGCAATCCATTGGTGGGGTCACACGTTCGGTTCGAGTCCCATTTAGCGACTCTGGAGCTCAAAACGCGTCTTGAGTTTTGGCCGCCCCACCGGCTTCTGGCCCACTGTGTGAGGGGGCTGCCGTCGCACAGTGGGACGAAACGCCAAAAACGGGGGTAATTATAAAGTGCTCAAATCAATGCAAAATCTCTACTGGGGGGTTTTCGGGTGCGAGAAACCCATTTCTGAAAAAATCAGACCAGAAAAAGTACCCCCAGGGGCGGATCGGCAATCGATGGGGGGAAAACCAGGAACGCGTGCGACTATCGCTCCCAAAATCACTATCCGGGGGTTTTCGGGTGCGAGAAACCCTTTCTGACAAAATCAGAAAAAAAAAGTACCGCCAGGGGCGGATCCGGCAATCGATAGGGGGGAAACCAGGAACGCGTGCGACTATCGCTACCGAAATCACTACCCGGGGGGTTTTCGGGTGCGAGAAACCCATTTCTGACAAAATCAGACCAGAAAAGTAACGAGAAAGAAAAGGGGGGGGGGGGGGGAAAAAAACACAGTTGCACTTTAAAGACATTTCTTATATCTTAAGAAAAAAAACCTCTGCTGAGAGCTTTGCTTCAGCTCAGGGTCAGGTCAAGCTTGGGTGCGCGGCCGCGGTATGGTGGCGTTGGCCGGGAGGGGGGCTCTGTTCGCCTAGCTGTGGGCCCCGGTTTTTTTTCACTTGAGAACTCCGGATTGCGCACAGAACGCATCACGCAGGCTGAACTTCCCTCCCCTCACATTTTTGTGTTGCTTGGTATCAAAATTGCCGTCTAATCATGAGCTATTGGCCTGTCACACTCGCTAAAAAAAATTGGTGGGTTGCGTACAAAATGCATCGCGAAGACAGAAGTTTCTATCGACGGGCCCTAAAAATTTGGGGGCTTTCTGAGCGCCGTTTATGACGGGTCGTACAGGGGCCGCGGCGGCGCGGGAGGGGGAGGGGGAGGGGGGGGTCGGGCCTGTCGCGCCGCGCGTTGCTGTGCGCGGGAGGGGCCGGAGGGGCCCCAGGCCGGGTCCATAGGAGGGCCTTTATGGTGAAGCTGCACCAAAAGAAACTGTCGACCCCTCAGCTTTCTTTTTACCCTGGTAGGCGTGAAGTCGAAAAACGGCCACGGCGACGGCCGGCCCGGCCACGGCGACGCTCGGCCCCCCCCCCCATATATATATTCCTTTTTGGTATGTTTCTGAGCAGTGTACATTGCCTCAGCCCGGGCCCCCCGCCCCAGCCTCCCAGATCCCAAATAGGCCTCTGACCAAACTGTAGACACAGCCTCGCACATTTGCGAGTAATAGCTCAAGCTTTGATACGCTTTACCTAAAAACAGTACGTCCCGGCAGCGCGCGCGCGCGCGCGCCGCACCGCCAGCCTGGCCACCAGCCGAGGGGCGGGCGGCGGCGCGCGAAAAAAAAGCATTTTTTAAAATGATTTTTTCAAAACGCGGAGCATTGCGGGGCATTCGGCGGGATGGGGCCCCAAAGGAGAAGCTGCTCTGTCACGGACATTTTTTCCCCCCCGTGCGCAAATGTGCGCAACTCGACTTATCTCAACGTGAAAATCGTCCAAAACACGATTTTACTCTACTTTCTTTGGCTTGTTACTTCTGATAGGTTACTCAAAATTTAAATCCGAGGAGTGCGTTAGATTCGTCAATTTCTCAGCTTTCCAAAAATATATAACAGATGGGGTTTATTTAAAACGACACGGCCAGTAGAGGACAAACAGTACACCCCTGACAGTAAGTGCGCGAAAAACCGGAAAAATGACCAAGTTCGGCGCCCCCCCAGGGCTCACACGTGTGAAATATTGACGAACGAAGCAGTGTCCCGTGTAGCCCAGACCTTTCTTGCAAATGTCTGATAGTTCGTTGGACCCCATCGCTAAATTTTCAAAAATCCACTTCTCACCGCGTTTTTGGCGTTTCGTCCCACTGTGCGTCGTCCTGCCCCTGGCCTGCCCTGCCCGGCCCGGGACGACCCTGCGTGTACTTACCGGGGCCCACCTTGGCCTTACTGCGTACCGCGATACCATGTGCTGGGCCGGGCCGGGCCGGCCTCACTAAACACACCGGATTACAACGGGGAGGGGCCGGGCCGTGCCGGGCAGAGGGAGGGAGAGCTCTCTGCAGTAATCAGCACCGGTAACAGCAGCGCCGTGGTGCCGTGGTCGTGGCCCCCGCCGTGCCCGTGCAGGCCGTGCAGGCCGTGCCGGTGTCGGGGGGACTTGTTACTCGCCGCCGTGCCCCTGCCCGCCCGGCCCCACGCCGCCACTGCTAGTCTTGTCTGGTTTGCTGCTAGATTTACCAGCAGCAGCGCCCGACCCGCGCGCGCGCTCTCAACTTCCGCATCCTCAACAACAACCCCCTGCTCGTGAAGGGGCGACTACACTGCATTAACTCGGACCGCAGCGACAAATCAAAACGGTTTTTTTTTTTTCAGTGGAGGTGGCGTTCCTGGCCTGGGGAGTCCGCCTGTGCATCGTGGTGCGCAAGGCGCCCTCCGAGTTCAACGAGAGCAGGTTCATCTCCATGGCCATCTACAACGAGTTTCTTCTCTCCGTCTTCCTCAACGTCTCCATGTAAGGCGGCCTGAGGCCCCACGCCGCCTAATTCGGTCGCTCGGCACGAGGCGGGACAATGCCACCTAATTGTCGGATGGTGTTGTTCCAGGCTGTTCCTGCAGTCGCCCGCCAACCCGGACCTGCTGTTCGTCATCTTCTTCTGCCACACGCAGCTCACCATCACGCTGCTGCTGGGGCTCATCTTCGGCAGCAAGGTGAGTGGGCGGTGGGCGCTCCACAGTGGGCCAGAACACCGGCGGAGGTGGACAAAACTTTAGACGCGTTTTTAGCTCCAGAGTCGCTAAATGGGACTCGAAGCGAACTTGTGACCCCACCAATGGATTGCTCTCCGAACGAGGGATCCATTGGTGGGGTCACACGTTCGTTTCGAGTCTTATTTGACGACTGTGGAGCTCAAAACGCGTCAAGAGTTTTGTCCGCCTCCACCGGTCTTCTGGCCCACTGCGCCCTTTCGCCATAGCGCCCGGGGCCGGCGGCGGCGCGAGGTCGGATCAGTGACAAGGACGAAACCAAAACCAGCCTCCAGTCGTTCCAGTCCGCAGCGCGGGTCGGATCGTGTGTGTTTTCGGCTTAGGGACAGTTGAGGAAAAACGCTACGAGGAAAACGTGGTGTGGGGAAGAGGGTGGGAACCGTAAGCAAAGCCCGGCGGGGCGGACCGGGGCGGTCTGCGGTGAAAAGGGGCAGTCGCGCGGTAAAGAACGAGGCTATTTTGGTCAGACTCAACGAGGCGGCCTATCCTCCACTTCGGACGAGGGGTCAGTATAAAACAGCCCGTCTTCTTTGTCTTCTTTCCCTCTTTTTTCCTGCTTGGCGAAGCAGGCCGCGCTTTGGGATGGCCGTCCGCACAGTGGGCCAGAAGACCGGTGGAGGCGGCCAAAACTCCAGATGCGTTTTGAGCTCCAGAGTCGCTAAATGGGACTCGAACCGAACGTGTGACCCCACCAATGGATTGCTCTCCGAACGAGGAATCCATTGGTGGGGTCACACGTATGGTTCGAGTCCTATTTAGCGACTCTGGAGCTCAAAACGCGTCTGGGAGTTTTGGCCGCCTGCGCCGGTCTTCTGGCCCACTGTGGCCCGGCCCGCCGGCCGACACGGGCTGGAGTGGAGCGCCCTAAACCCTGCACTATGAGATAAAGGGCGAAGAGCCGCGCTCCGCGCTCAACCCCGAAGGGACGAAAAAAGGTGCGACCCGACCCGGCCCGCAGTGGCGTGACACCCCCCGGGACTGCAGCCCGCGCCACTGGAGGAAAGCCTGTAAAAGTTGAGGTCCCCCGCATCGCGCTCACGATCGTTATTTAGTTTCAAGTTTCGCCCCTATATATTTTTTTTTCACTGCTGTTCCGTCATCGCATTACATGATTACATTTTGAGCGTGCGGGATTATGTGGGAAAATGTTGGTGCGGAAGCGTATGGCCGGCACCGCGTAAATTGAGCTCTCCCCCGAGGGTGGGCGGGGCGGGGCGGGGCGGGGCGCCCTGTGAACGAGCGGTGCGTGGGTAATTGATGTAACACGGTGACCGCCATCCATCTTCGTCGGGGCCATCCTTGGCGGGACTGCAGCACGACGACGTGCACGACGTGCACGACGTCTCGCCCAGCGCTGGCGAGCAGCGCCATGATGAGCATGGCGTGGGCGGCGGCAAGGTCGACGCGGCGCGCTGCTGCTGCTGCTGTCCTGTCGTCGTCGTCGCCGTTATGCTGACAGACAGGACGGCCTCCATCACCTCCCCGGCGGTATTATCATTTTGGCGGGGCTGCGTTAGTGTGTGCATTGCGTTACGACGGCGTAAAGCGGCAAGCGCGGCTCGTAATCTGGAAGTTGCTGATCGGCCGGCGAGTCGAGGAGCCCCGCACAGTGGGCCAGAAGCCGGTGGAGGCGGCCAAAACCCTAGACGCGTTTTGAGCTCCAGAGTCGCCAAACAGGCCTCGGAACGGACGTGTGACCCCACCAATGGATTCCTCGTTCGGAGAGCAATCCATTGGTGGGGTCACACGTTCGGTTCGAGTCCTGCTTTGCGACTCTGGAGCTCAAAACGAGTCCGGGGTTTTGGCCGCCTCCACCGCCTTCTGGCCCACTGTGGAGCGCCGAGGAGCACGGCGACGAACGACGGCGGCGTGAATCGCGTGATGGCGGCAGCGCCATCAAGCGCATTATCGGCGCGCTCGGAGTAAAAGTAAGGGCCGTGCGACAACAGGTTGATGCGCGTCACGGTCGCGTCACGGACACGCGCCGGCACTCGACAACGTGACGCGAGTGACGCGCGGATAGCATCTCGCGCGCAGGCCGCGGCGGCGGCAGCGCGGTGAAGCCCGCAGCGCCGGCGGCGGGGGAGGCACGACCAACTCGCTCCCCCCCCCCCCCCTCTCGCCTTTCATTTGCCTGCTAACCCAATTCCACCTCGGCAGAAGAGTCCCGCCAAGCGGCCCAACTTTTCGGGGGTGGCGGGAATCTAATTAGACTCGTTGGCGGGGCGGTCTCGCCGCGAGTCTCGGCCATTTTTCGTCGCGTCGCGCCGCAGACTGATTCCGCTCCGCACGACGTTGTCGTCGCTCTGTCCCTCTCGCACCCGCACGGAGAGCGGACTGGCGCCCCATGAGTGCGACAGAGACAGAGCGCTGCCGGCCGCGGTCCGCGGTGTGTAGACTGAGAGTGGCGCCCCTCCCACAGTGGGCCAGAGGACCGGTGGAGGCGGACAAAACTCTAGGCGCGTTTTGAGCTCCAGAGTCGCTAGGCAGGACTCGAATCAACCGTGTGACCCCACCAAATGGATTGCTCTCCGAACGAGGAATCCATTGGTGGGGTCACACGTTCGTTTTGAGGCCTGTTCAGCGACTCTGGGGCTCAAAACGCGCCTAGAGCTTCGTCCGCCTCCTCCGGTCTTCTGGCCCACTGTGCCTCCCCCGCTACCACGGCGACCACGCCGACCGCCACCACACGTGGCCGATTTGGCGCGGCGCGCGGCCTCGGGGCGGCTATGCCGTCGATTCCGCGGCTGAGTACCGCGGCCGGAATGAGGAGAGGTCCGCGAGGCCGCGGCTCGTCGTAAAAGTTTCCTTGCAGCGCCGACTCGACTCGAGTCCGGCCCGCTTCCAGGCCGCTTCCAGCCCGCTCCAGCCCTCGGCCCTTCATCATGTTATACGGGCCGGGAGTCCCTTTTTACGCCCATACGTTGTCATAAATCTGATGATGACGATCGTTTTATGTCGGTGGGCCGGCCGGCCGGCCGGCCAGCCGTGTGCTTTGACTGACCTCTCATTCCCATTCGTTATGTTGTCGTGAGCCCCCGCGTTCGTTCGTTTCTCTCCCGCTTTTTTACCTGCTTTTTTCTCTCTCTCTCTCTCTCTCTCTCTCTCTCTCTCTCTCTCTCTCTCTCTCTCTCTCTCTCTCTCTCTCTCTCTCTCTCTCTCTCTCTTTTCTCCGCCATTCCTCTTTTCGCGGAGGAAACGGACGTGCAGGAGCGGCAGCCTCGAGTGAAAGCAGTGCTGCCACGTAAGGAGGCAAAAATCCCCGCCACGCACCGGAGTCCAAGGGCCAAGGGGTTGCCAACCTTGCAGCCTGCCGACCAGGCAAAGTACCTTAATTGGCTTCGCTATCGAAAAGTTGCGTGGCTGAGGTTGGAAACCCTTTCGACACAGCGGTTATATTGGTAATTTTTGCCTGCGTAGGTGGCAGCACTGAGTGGAGGTGGTTCCGAAGGGTGCACTACGAGTGCGGTGCCACTGTGCCACTGGAGCGGCAGCGGTGCGCGGGATTTGGGCGTTCGGAATGCATTTGCACTTTGCGGCGTCGCGCTTGGCCACCGCCAGCACGCCAGCACCGCCACTGCCAATCCCGGACCGGAAGCCGCCGCGGCGCTCCCGGGTTGGCCGGCCTAATTCAGCGCGAGCGCGTAGCCAGGCCCACAAGCCCACACGGCCTACACGGCCTACGGCCCACGAGGCCCGTACCCGCAGTGCCCCGCTGTGCCGCGGCGCGTTTAGTGTGGTCTGCGGGTGCTCGCCGCATGGCTCGCCCCGTGCCCCCTATCCGCCCCTTCCACCCCTGCCCCACCTAACGGTTCCGTTCCGGTCCGCGGCGCAGGGAAACTAAGCCACAGCTAAGCGACCGGAGGCCTGGCCGGTTTACGATATCCACCTGTTGCACGCCCCACGGCCAGCATGGCCAGGGCGTAACGCGTCGGTGCTGCTGCCTGCCTGGCCGGGCAGAGGCCCTCGCTGCGGCGGTCGGGTCGGGGAAGGAGCGGATGCAGCCGAGTGGCGAGGTTATCTCCCCTCACTGGTAAACTGATCCCGCTGCAGGCACTGTAGGCCGGCGGCCAGAGCGAATCGCACCCCGGTTCCGCTCGGTTCCGGTTCAACCCCGTGTGATAAAGCCGGGGAAAACCAAGTCCCAAGTTCGAATACCCGCACACTTCGTGAATTTCTTAGAAGGACAAATTATGTGTGCGGTCGTCCTCCTGCAGGTACTGTGCATGGGGGATGATTTGGTGATTTTTTTTCTGTCGTTTCCTGTGCAGGCGTACCTGGTGTTTCGGGACCGCGGCCGCCTGGAGGAGGCGCCCTCCATGCCGAAGCCGCCCACCACCAAGTTCCTGCGGTCCACGAACTCGCACTACGCGACGCAGCCGACGCCGGCCTCGTCCAACTGCAACGCGGCGCACAACGACGTTGGCGTGCAGGTGGGTGGTGTGGTGGATGCACCGCGGCGGCGCAGCGTCTCTGCGTGCGAGCGGGTCGGGCCGACACACAGTGGGCCAGAAGCCGGTGGAGGCGGCCAAAACTCTGAACGCGTTTTGAGCTCCAGAGTCGCTAAACAGGTCTCGAAACGAACGTGTGACCCCACCAATGGATTCCTCGTTCGGAGAGCAATCCATTGGTGGGGTCACACGTTCGGTTCGAGTCCTGCTTTGCGACTCTGGAGCTCAAAACGAGTCCAGAGTTTTGGCCGCCTCCACCGGCTTCTGGCCCACTGTGCGACAGGCCTCACGATGGTCACCCTTGTCCCGCAGGAGGAGTTCTCCCGCCTCAAGTCGGCGCTGGACGCGCTCCGGGACCGCAGCGTGTGCCGCGGCGACCGCATCCTGGCGGCGCGCATCGGCGCCATGCTGGAGTGTGCGGGGCCGGGGCAGCAGGCGCTCAAGGAGTGCGAGGAGGACGCGGCCAAGGCCAAGGAGGCCGAGGCCAACCAGGCGGCCAGCAAGGCCAGGGCCGCCATCGCGGCCTCGCCGTCGACGGCCTCGCCGCCCTGCCTGGCTGCGGCGCCCGAGGCGTCCTCGCGGACGTCGCTGCGGACGACGCCGTGCGCCACCACGTCGCCGGGGACGTCGTCCGGGCTGTCGCCGGGGCTGTCCACCGTGTCCACGCCGCGGCCGGGGTCCGTGGCGGGCCGCGTGGACGTGGCGACGTCTCCGGAGCGCGGCGCTGGCTCCTCGGACGACGACGACGAGGAGGACGACGACTACGAGGAGGAGGACGACGAAGACCCGGTGCTCGCGGAGGACGACGACGACAGCCGGCGGCCCGCGCCGCCTCTCACGCTCAAAGAGCTCCGCGCCGTGCAGCGCAGCTTCAAGAGGGGCTTGGACGCGTCCGCCAACAACGCCGCCGCCGCGTCGGCCAACGCGTCCACGGCGTCGACATGCGGCGGCTCGAGCGGCAGCGTGGGCAGCACGGGGCCGTGCAATGGTGACCCACCCCGCCGCCGGCACAACCATCATCACCACCACCATCACCACCATCATCACCACCGGAAGCACCACCACCGCCACAAACAGGCGGGGCAGGCGAGGAGCAGGTCCTTCGAGGACGCCGCCGTGCCGGCCTACCTGCTGGCCAGCTCGCCGGTGACGCCCGCCGCGCCGCCAGCCGCCGCGACGGCGGTCATCGGCAGGGTGGGGCGGGGCGGGCGGACGGCGGCGACCTGCGTGTTGTGCCAGGGCGGCCCTCAGGGCGGCCCCCGCGGCCTGTCCCACGACCACCCGCACGGCAGGAGCGCGTCCTGCCCGTCCTCCTCCCAGGACTCGAGCCCCAACGGCGTCCTCTCCGCGCCCCTCGTCCTCGACATGGACGACAAGAACCGCTTCACGGAGGAGGTGGCTGTATGAGGGCTGCCACACTGTTAGAAATTCCGGTTCCGAGGGCTGGAAGCCTGGACCGGAGCGGTGGTGTATTTCTAACAGTGCCCCAGCCCACGAGCGATTACGTGATTCTTTTGTATCTATTTCATTTGACAGTGTCAAAGAACTGCCAACCCTACCCTATGCTTTTCACTGTTTCAAAAAAAACTAACATATCAAAGGAAATCTGGTATATATCTGCATTTTAGCACAAAGCATATCTTTCTTCCGTATTTGTTGACAAAAGTTTAGTTGTCAGAATTAATTTTTCAGATTTCGTGGATTTTGCAATCTGAACGCAAGAACTTGAACTTCGGACTTAAACGTAACTTCGAGGCGGAAATGTCGTTAAGGTTGAGAAAGTGCCATGTTGAGGGGAGAGTCATGATAAAGTCAGATGAAGGATTAGGGTGAAGTTAAGTATTAAACCAACTGTGATAAAGCCACATAATCTTTTTGTGCCAAAATGTGAATTTTAGGTTTAACTCGGGTGCCCCTTGAAGACTTGTGACACTCTGAGCCCTGTTGCAAGGCTTCCAGGTGATGTATGGTCTCAACAGTCGAAAATCAAAATCTCGTTCCGCGTCATGATCATCAAACCGCGTGGAAGGCATCACTAAATGTCCGTTACCGCGTTGGAAAAAGGCAAATTCAGCGCATTGGCATGCGAAAATATGTCGCTGTTTTTCTGTTAAAATTCCAATTAAATTTAAATGACGCGTTTGGAGTCCACGCGGCCCACTCGCGAAAATAAAGTGAGGTTGAATCTGGTCTCCGAATGCCGCAATTCAAGGAACACTGTTTAAATGTTTAAAAAAAAAACAACTACTAATTTTAACTGTGCCTGCAGTTGCAGCGCCGCTGTTCCGCTATTGCGTAACCTCCAAGTACAAAGTAAATATGGAATACTGCATTCACTCTAGAAACTTGATCAAAAAGGAATACCCTTCTACGTGTAAATAATTATTATTCTCAAATCAGATTTTATAAATAGATTTTAAAAGTATAGCATGAAATGAAATGTTGATGTTTCAATGTAAAATTTATCTTTGTCCATATCCTAGGGATTTACGTGGATATAGGAATCGACACAGGGTGATATTTTATTTTTAGAAGTATGGCCTCAATGAATTTGCTTATCAAAAATAATGTGGCCGTGCCGCCCGACCTACTCTGAAAAAAAAATAATCTGTGAGTTTTGAAACGCGTTTTGGCAGTGCGGCGTCAAGCGTGCCTTCTACCCTGTAACCCTCGGAAGCAATAGACACCTGTCTCACTCTGGAGCAGCTCCTCCGCAGTGCCCTACACCTCATTGCTCAAAACGCACACGTTCTTGTAACAATAAAGAAAGTCTACTTACGTTACGCTCGTTTGTTTCACCGCTCCCTTCCTCCAGCAGCAGGATCACCAGCAGCAGCAGCAGGATCACCAGCAGCAGCAGGATCACCAGCAGCAGCAGCAGGATCACCAGCAGCAGCAGCAGCAGGATCACCAGCAGCAGCAGCAGCAGGATCACCAGCAGCAGCAGCAGGATCATCAGCAGCAGCAGGATCATCAGCAGCAGCAGGATCACCAGCAGCAGCAGATGTCCCACCCGGCGTTTAGGCGCGCGGGCATTTGGCGAGCAATTTGAAATTACGGAAGCGTGTTTGGCTCGGCATAGCAGCTGTCTCGGCGGCCGCCGGCAACTGGGGCGGCCTAAATCAACGTCCCACAGTTCCCAGTTTCCGCTTCCCGCCCCGAGCAAAAAAGACGACCCTCTGGCGGTGGGGCGCGGTGCTGCTTGGGGCGGCCAGTGCGAGGCGAGGCGAGCCCGGCCGCGCATGTAGAACGCCCTACCGAAATGGAAATGCAGCACCGGCACGGGGTGGCTGGCTCGGCTGGGCAAGGCGAGGGCATGGTGTCGGTGCAGGCAGGGTTGATAACCTCAACCTGCCTATATCTACGCCTCGCTATTGAGAATTTGCCTGGTAGGCAGACTGAGGTAGGCAACCCTTTCGACACTTGTGCCTAGTGGGATTTTTCGACTGCGCACAGGTCCAGTCGGAGGGAGATGGAGCTTTGTGGCGAGCAGCGCCGTGCAGGCAGGCAGCCCTTCTGCCCGCTGGTGCTGGCCTGGCTGTGCGCTGGGCTGCCCACCCTCCCGGCGCGCGGGCCGCTTGACCCGTCAGCTGCACACAGTGGGCCAGAAGACCGGTGGAGGCGGACAAAACTCTAGACGCGTTTTGAGCTCCGGAGTCGCTAAGCAGGACTCGAACCGAACGTGTGACCCCACCAATGGACTCCTCGTTCGGAGAGCAATCCATTGGTGGGGTCACACGTTCCGTTAGAGTCCCATTGAGCGACTCTGCAGCTCAAAACGCGTCTAGAGTTTTGTCCGCCTCCACCAGTCTTCTGGCCCACTGTTTTGACTCCACCTGCCACCGGGCCGTGGTCGCCCGGCGCAGGGAGTCCCCGATAGAACCGGACCCGATGTACGACGCGTGCGGTTCGTTTCCGCCACCGTTTGTCAGCGCCCTTCGGCCGGCCGGGGGCTGGGCTGGGCACCGGGGCAGGGCAGAGGGGCCCTGGGCCGGGCCAGCCAGGGCCCCGCAAAGCGTAGCGTCGCGTCTTCCCTTCTTTCGCCGGGCCAATTGAATTGATGCAGCGGGGCCCAGTAGCGGCCCGGCCCGGCCCGGGAATGGGAAGCAGCGACGTCGCGGTCGCACAAACGGCACAGACGGCGGCCGTCGACAAGAACGGCACAGTCGCAAACGCAAACGGCCGACAGCGCCGCTGCGGGGCTGTGGCACGGCGTGGCGTTTCACGACGGCGACGCTAGCGGTCTCCGCTACATAAAATGGAAACAGAAGCTTTACGCCGGCCGTTCCCAGGTAGTGTACCGCACTGGTGCTGCCCCCCGCGGCCCCCGCCCCGCCCCCGCGCCATAAGCAGCGACGCAGCGCGGCCCGGCAGCAATATTGAGCCACTTGAGGAGGGCGACGGCGACGGGCGCACGCCGCCGGCCAGAGATTGGACATCGTGGTGCGCGGGGCTGGCGGGGCTGGCGGGGCTGGCGGGGCTGGCGGGGCTGGCAGGGGCCGTGGGGCGCAAGGGAGACCCGTCTGCCGCGAGATAGCAGCGGCCCGGACAGCCCCAACGGCCGCCTGCCTGCCTCATTCCGAGAGTCGTTTTCGTCGCTCTGTCTTTCTCGCACTCATAGGGCGGTCTGTCAGGGTGCAAGGGAGACATTAGCCACGGAGACGACTCTCGGAATCAGTCTCCCGGCTGTCCTACCCGGGCCGGGGTGGTCGAATCGTTCGGATAGTACTCGTCACTTCCCTCTGAGCCCGGCCCAGGGACCCGGAGGTTTGGAGGCGCCCGGTGCGTCTTATCCTGCCAGGTCGTCGCCACCGTATCTCCAGCCGCCGGCCCTTCTCGGCCTGCTCCAGGCTCGGCCGGGCTCAGCCGCCAGACGCCTTGGGGCGCACCACGGGGCCGTACAGTGGGCCAGAAGACCGGTGGAGGCGGCCAAAACTCTAGACGCGTTTAGAGCTCCAGAGTCGCTAAATAGGACGCGAACCGAACGTGTGACCCCACCAATGGATTGCTCTCCGAACGAGGAATCCATTGGTGGGGTCACACGTTCGCTTCGAGTCCTGTTTAGCGACTCTGGAGCTCTAAACGCTTCTAGAGTTTTGGCCGCCTCCACCGGTCTTCTGGCCCACTGTGGTCCGGGACGTCGCTGTCTCGGACGCGCGGGGCGCCGCGCCGGCCCTTGGGGTGCGAGAGAGACAGAGCGACGAATAACGCCGTTCGGAATCCAACTGCTGGTAAAGCCGATGGAGGATTGAACCGCTGTGGCCGCGTCTGGTCGGCTGGTCGACGTTGACAAGCGGCCAAGCGGCCAAGCGGCGTGGCTGTGTTGGGCCATGTCCACGCGCCGTGTGCCGGCGACGCGTCCCCGCCGCGGCGTTCGTCTAGTTTTTAGTGTCGCGGCTTCTAGTGCCGCGGTTTCCAGTGCCGCGACTTCTAGCGTCGCGGCCTCTAGTGCCGCGGTCATCATGAGAACAACGCCCCCGCGGGCGCGCGCGGTGGAGCCTGCGCAGCCACCGCCGGTTATTGCCGCACTTACCTGCACAATTTTCGCGCCTTTTAATACCGCCTTAATTATTACAGGACGGGGCGTGTTTACGGTGTCGCCGCATCGCCGCTGCCGAGCGCGCCGTAAAACGCCAAACGCCGGCAGCGCGCTCTGACGGCGCCGGGGAAGACTTGCGAAGACTTGGCGCTTTTTTTTACGACGGTCAGAGAGGGTGCTGCTACTGGGATGACACTGGCGCTGCATAGCGACGCCTAACCTAACCTAGGAGTCTGGCGGACGCCCGGCAAGTTTCAGAGGGGCCTGCCACTGTCTAACAATGCACAATGGGATGTGACTACATTCGATTTGCCTTTGCCTACTGCATGGCCTTCCCCTCACCAATTTCCTCACAGACGTTTCGCACGCAAAATATGAGTGAGTATGAGCGCGTTGGGGCTGGGCGTGTACAACGAGCTAGTACTAGTAGTAAACACACACACACGCCCTTTTTTCACGTTTCTCAGTTTCGAACTGTTCTCTGCACGTGTGTGCCGCTTGGGTCGGATGGACGCGTCGGCCGACACGTCACCTGAACTGAACACAGTCCAATGATAACAAGAGCCCCCCCCCCTCTCGCCCCCTCGCCCCGTGCCACATCATGTCCAGCGTAGTAGTTGATTCGCGCCAACTGTCGCGCTGGCACTGCGTTGCACTGCGTCGGCACGCGCGTGCGCGCCGTGCGGCCGTTGGGCACACTGCTTGTCCGCCGGCAGAAAATGACGTCACCGCTTCCGGTCCCTTCAGTCTGACAACTTTGCAAGGCTGGCTCACTAAGGGACGGCCCAGAAAATCCCCTGTGACGTAAATCGTGCACGCCGTGCCCTGCTGACGACTGATTCAGCGCACTCTGTCACTCTGTTTCTCTCCTCTCTCTCTCTCTCTCTCTCTCTCTCTCTCTCTCTCTCTCTCTCTCTCTCTCTCTCTCTCTCTCTCTCTCTCTCTCTCTCTCTCCCTCCCTCGCGCTCGTGTGAGTAAATGCAAGGGAGGGAGAGATAGAGAGACAGTAGTGAGCCGTGCCCGCGAATTTCTCCGCATCGGGTCATCATTATCCACATGAATCACGGCGTGGAGCCCGACCGCACTATCATGCTGTTGATAGATGCTGAGTCCGCGGACGGGGCAGGGCCAGGCAGGGCAGGGCGGGCTGGGTCCACACGCCACGCCGCGACAGGCAGCTATTATCGCCGCGTTCGATTCGAGGAAAACCGCCGTCGAAAACAAACCGATCGAGCGTCCCATTTTGCATTTCCCTGCGTTTCCGCGTACGTACGCGTGGAAAGGGCGTGGGTCATTGTTGTTCATTTGTTTCAAGTTCATTTGTCGCCTTTTGGAGGGAAATTTGGAGGAATTCTTTCTGGTCGAACGGTTCCAGCCCCGACTCGACACCACTCGGGTCCAAGTCACGCGCACGTTGACGCGTTGAACGCGGCCTGGTGGGGTCAATGGCTCGGCCACACCGCACGGCGCAGCACGGCCGCGCGCAGTGTGTGTCACTCCGCCGCTCTGCGCTCGCTGGCTGCGCTGCCCGCTCTTGCTCTTGTTGTTGCTTTCTCTGTCACCATCTCGCGAATCGTCGGGTCGCCGTCTGCGTCACAAGTGCCTCGCCGTTTATGAGGTACCGAGAACAGAGAGGGCAGTCTTGAGAAGCGATGACGTCAGGTGTCGCGGAGAGCGGCGGCTGGCCCGGCACCCTGCCCCGCCCTCTCTCCGTCCCTCCCTCTACCTCCCTCTCTCTCCATGACGGAGAGGCGGTGAGGAGGAGGCGATAATAGAGACCGCCGAAGAAGAATCTGACAAAGCGACGCAGGCCGGCAGACGGTGAACCTCACTCCTGCTCACTCCACTCCGCACCGCGCTCCGCTCCGTCCGCTCCACGCGCAGCCCGACAGTCAAAGACGAGTGGAGCGACCGCCAGTGCCAGTGCACCAGCGACCGGGCAGCGTGCTTGACGACGGCGTCGAGCACGTCCAGCGACCAGCGGCGCAGTAGTGGATACAGTGGAAAAAGCAGCGGCGTCCCGGTAAGTCGACGAGGCGGTGACGCGGCGGACTCCGACTTATTCCTTTCCATCCGTCAACGGCCTCGGCCTTCGCGGCACAGTGGGCCAGAAGGCAGGTGGAGGCGGCCGAAACGCTAGAGGCGTTTTGAGCTCCAGAGTCGCTATACAGAGCGCGAACAGAACGTGTGACCCCACCAATGGATTCCTCGTTCGGAGAGCTATCCATTGGTGGGGTCACACGTTCGGTTCGAGTCCCACTTTGCGACTCTGCAGCTCAAAACGCGTCTAGGATTTTGGCCGCCTCCACCGGTCTTCTGGCCCACTGTGCGCGGCTACGGCCTCGGCGGCCACGGCCACGGCCTGCTGACAGCAATTCGCATCACGGTTCCGAAGCTGTTTGCCCAAGTTTTCCGGTGCGATGGATCGCGCGCTCCGGGCAGCTCCAGGGCGCGCGGGCTACGGGGTGGTGCAGTGGGTGTAGTGGTCGCCCGGAAGGCCCGGAGGCGGTAGCAGCAGCAAGGCGCCCGGAAAAATAAGTGTCCTGGAAGCTCTTGTTGGAGCTCTCGACTGGCTGGCAGTGGGGAGATGCTTTTGCAGTGCGGTGCAATGGCAGTCCGTAGTTGTTATGCTTATACGACGGCGAGGCCCGCCGCTGCCGGTGGCGGGGAAGTGCCGTTCGTTTGGGACGGTCCAGGAATTCCATTTCCTGCCTGCCGTTTGTGCAGGTCGTACGGTACGCCCTCGGCTGGCCCACGGCAGAGCCGTACTGGCCTAGGCAGCCGCGCTCGGAGCCCCGCTAGTGTCACGGACTTCCGGCCGACCACTTTCGGGTCCTGCTGGGTCCTGTGGGGTTCCTGAGGGGGCGGGCTGCGAGGGGCTGCGCACAGTGGGCCAGAAGACCGGTGGCGGCGGCCAAAACTATAGACGCCGTTTCGAGCTCCAGCGTCGCAAAGTGGGACTCAAATCGAACGTGTGACCCCACCAATGGATTGCTCTCCGAACGAGGAATCCATTGGTGGGGTCACACGTGCGGTTCGAGTCCTGTTTAGTGACTCTGGAGCTCAAAACGCTTCTTGAGTTTTGGCCGCCTCCGCCGGTCTTCTGGCCCACTGTGCTGCGTCCAGCTCTGTTGGGTGGCGCTGTGCGGCGCGGGGAGGCCTGTATTCCGAGTTACCGCCGCGGCGGCCGTCTAGATGTCCAAAGCCGCCCCGAAGTTTGACGGAAAGCCGAAGCCGAAGGTCATCTCCCTTGCAGAGCTGGCGCGGGAAAAAAAGTTTTGAAAAGCAGAGAAAAGAAAGTTGCCGCGGCGTTGGACACCCCAATAATGCACTTCCTCGCGTGCTGCACTGTTGGAAACTCTCGTTTGTTTACGAAATATTTTAACACGATACGTTTTGTCAAGTATGCCTTGATAAATATTTTTTTTCGGAATATTATTACGTGGACAGCCTATAAAAACATGACGATATATTTGCAAACCCTTAAGAACTACGAAACTTTTCATATCTCATGTTTACGACGCACTTTCAGACTTCATCACGTACTCCATGGTCTGTACTTTCCCTAAGCTCTCGCTAAAAATTTCCAGAGAAATCTTTGCAAATTTACGCTTTCCCGTTTTCTATTTTCCGCGACGGGCGCGGAAAGTTTTGGCGTAGCGATCGCGGGCGTCGCGCCTCCCCGGCCGCCGCGCCGCCGCGCCGCTGAGTAGTTTTATATTGGGCAGCCTGACGTAGTCTGACGTAGTCTGACGACGCGGCCTCCCCCTTGGCCTATCCGGGCTATCCAGGCCGGGGCAGTGGCAGGCAGTGGCGGAGCCGGGAGCCTCTGGAGCAGGGGGCCTTGACAGTGGCGGGCCGCCCATCAGTGCAGCGCATTAGCTACGCCAATGTCAATGTCAGTGCCACTTGTGCCCCGCGGGGCAGGCGACGCTGAAGGCGCGGCCCAGAGGTTAAGAGCTCCGAGCCCCGGGCGGCGTAGGCCTCTGCACGCCTCTGCAGCGCTCCGGCGTGGATCGGGTTGCCTAGGCCGCCCGGCGGCGACGCGGCCGCCGACTCGCAGTGGCTCTCCGTCGGGCCGGAGGCCGGAGGGGAAGGCGACGCGATATCACAGTGTCACAGTCCAGCAGAGCGATTCCACGTCGCGTCTGTCTCTCTCGCGACTGTACGGAACGCCCCGTGAGTGCGAGAGAGACGTGCGAGCGATGATCGGAATCGCTCAACAGCCTTGCACTGTCCTGCCTGCCGTGAGTTGAGAGCTTTCCCGTGTCGGGGCGGGGTGGGGCACGCAGCCCCCCCCTCGCCCTTTTTTTCTTGTTATTGATTGACTAGGCAACATTTTATTTCTGCCTTTTATTACTCTGGCGAGTCAAGCCCCCGGTTCAATAGTGATAACGCGGCGACCTTTAGGCATGATCGATGGGTCGGTGCAGCACGCGCCGTCTCTCTCGCACTCTCACGTTTCATGGCTCGCCTGGGCTCGGCCCGCGAGAGCGAGAGAGACAGACTGAACTGGTTGCGACAGAATTTTGATCGGCGTCGTGCGAGTTCACCCCCTGTTAAATTTCAAGGCCTGGTCGACAAAATGCCCGGCGAAATTCACGACGATTCCGCTGGTTAAATCCGCCATTTTTGGTCCCAACTACGCGACTTGGAGTTTTCTGGCACAAAGATTGGCTTTCACTCTGCAGTACACGCGTGACGCGCCCCATCCCTCTACCGTGCCGGCCTGCCGCCCGGAGCCACTTATTCCTACTCAATGCCACCCCGCCCGCCCGCCCCGCCCCGCCCCGCCCCGCCCCGCCCGCCCCCGCCCCGCCGATGCCCCAGGGCGCTGGTTCTGCCTGCTGTGCCTGCTCTGCCCATCACGTGGCCGGCTTGGCTCCTGCTCAACGTCAATTTCCTCGTCATGCATGTAAATGAGACGCGAGGGCGGCGGGGGTGCGACGGTGCGACACTGTGGCGGCGGCGCGGCGGCGCGGCGCCCGTGCGGTTTACATACTGTAGTGCGTGCGCCGACGACGACGCCCTTGCCAGCCTGGCGGTCGGTGCTGATCTAGGCCGTGGCCGTGCGTGTGTGTGTGTGTGTGTGTGTGTGTGTGTGTGTGTGTGTGTGTGTGTGTGTGTGTAGGAGAGAGTGGGTGAGTGTGTGTGCTCGTGTGTGCGTGCGGGCGCGTGTTTGTAGGCTTGGTGTGTTTGGCCGGCCTGCGGCTTCTTGGTTGGGCGCACCCACCCGTGCGGCCGGCCGGGCCTGGCCGGGCCTCACTTTGTAGTGGTCGCCAATCACCATATCTATACACAGCACCCCCCCCCCTTTCCCTCTCGGGGGGCTCCGAGGCCCCTGTGTTATACTGTGACGCTGATGCCCCCGGCCCGCCCCGCCCCGAGGGCGACCTTAACGCCGTGCTGTTGAACAGAAGCGCCACCCGTCTGATGGATGAGCTAAACCCTTCGCTGCATGTCTCGGCCTTCCCTCGGCCGGCTGCCAGGCCGCTTGGCTGCGCCTGGCTGCCAGCCCCGCCAGGCCGGCAGTTACCGCGCGAGCGAGACGGAGCTATTCCAAATTGCCGCCCCCGCGCTGCTGGTCTACGGCCTCCACGGCCCGCCGCCGGAGCCACTAGCCACTTTTTTTTCGGCGCGTCAGCTTGAAATAATTTCTCGTTTGATTCCTCTCGGCAGCCTTCGGTGCCTTCGGTGATTAACGGCCCGCGCCATCATCCCCTTGAAAGAAGCGGGCGCCCCGCCCCGCCCCGCCCCGCCCCGCCCCGCCCCGTGCGCTTGCCCAGCCACGCCAATTCGCGCCGCGCGCGCGCTTTAACGGGCTTTGGCGCGGCCCGCAAAGTTTCAGGATTCATTCAGCAGTTTGATAAAATGCAAATTACACGCGAGGAACGGCCCCCCCGCCGCGCGCTGCCGTGATGTGGGCCCGGAGTGAATGGAAAATAATCAACGGGGCTTTCGGTTCGGAAGGGGTGGTGCTGATCGCCGGCCCCACCGCCCCACAGTGGGCTAGAAGACCGGTGGAGGCGGCCAAAACTCTAGACGCGTTTTGAGCTCCAGAGTCGCTACAGGCCTCGAACCGAACGTGTGACCCCACCAATGGATTCCTCGTTCGGAGAGCAATCCATTGGTGGGGTCACACGTTCGGTTCGAGTCCCATTTAGCGACTCTGGAGCTCAAAACGCGTCTAGAGTTTCAGCCGCCTCCACTGGTCTTCTGGCCCACTGTGCGCCCCGCCCCGACCGGGCTTTGAACCCGCGACCAGGCGCTACACCGCGTTACAGTCGCCGTTACTGTACTTAAAGCGCGCCCCGACCGGCCCGACGGACCACGGCCAGACAAGGGACTCACGGCCATTTTATCCTCTTTTGGAGCTCTGGAGAAGACATTGGCGGTGCTGCATTGTGCGCGATGGAGCGCTGCGGGGAGAGCAACGAGATCGTTTCACTCGCTCACGGTGAGTGAGCGACTCACTCGAGTCGCATCGTTTTTTAAACCACCCAACGCCCTCTTGGGTGGTTTCAGAAACGATGCGACTCGAATGAGTCGAGTGAGCGCAGTGAGCGACTCACTCACCGTGAGCGAGTGAAACGATCTCGTTGCTCTCCCCGCTGGCTGAAAGCCGAAAGCCAAAAACGGCCTCCATCGAAAAAAAGTTAATCAATGCCGCACGCTGCCTAATCAGTCATAGAAGTTGGCGAGCGTGGGCGGTGGGCGCGGCCGCGCGGGGCTCGGCGCGCGCTTTTGTTGTTTGCGTTGTTGTTTTTGGTGTTTGTTTTGTGATGTTTGTTTTTGCTTGGCGCCCCCACCTGCCGCCGTTGTCATTTCGTGTGAGTAAATGGAAGTGAATGAGTGATGACGCCCTTGTTGTCTGTGACTAGGATCACCACCACCATGACCACCACGAGGATCTTCGCGGTGCTGCTGGCGGCGCTGGCGGCCGTGTCCTGCGTCGCGGCCCACTCCTACCACCTTGGCTCCTGTCCCAGCGTCGAGCCCATGCCCAACTTTGAAGTGGACAAGGTAATTACAGAGCTCTGCCTCCGTTTTTTGTTTTTGTTTTTGTTTTTGTTTGGTGCTGATGACCGCGCGCTCGTTTCCAGTTCCTGGGCAAGTGGTACGTGATCCAGAAGACGTCGACGGGCAGCCGCTGCCTGGTGTACAACATCACGCGCACCCCCGAGGCGCAGGGCGAGGCGCACGGCCAGTTCCGCATCGAGCAGATCAGCGAGCACCTGCTGCTGGGGCTCACCTCGGTGGACCACAAGTACCGCTACACCGGCCTGCTGCACGTCAACCCGGGCGCCACCACCAACGCCAACATGACGGTCCACTTCCCGCTGAGTACGTGCTGCAAGTATTTCCTTTTTTACTAACCACGTACGATAACGCTTGACTAACCGCTTTTTTTTTCTGGGGTTCACGTCCCATCTGCTATCGAGTTGTATTTGCGAGGCTTGTTTGTGTTCGGCGTTTTCTGGGGCACCGTTTTTCACTTGTTGTGCTCCAGGCGTGGCCGGCAGTGCCTCCTACCGCATCTTCATGACGGACTACACGACCTACGCCGCCGTCTTCACCTGCCAGAAGCTGGCCTTCGCCAACCGCCAGTCGGTGTCCATCCTCGCCCGGCAGCGCACCCTGGACAAGCAGTACCTGGACAAGGTATGCGGTTTTTTAAAAAGGGGTTTCCCGTTGCGTTATTGTTTTGCTCGTTTAACACTTTTTTCTTGGACGCAGATCCGCAACCGCATCAGCGCGCTGGGCGTGGACCCCTTCGACCTGTCCATCATCGACCAGACCAACTGCGCCGTGGAGAAGCCCGAGGGCGTGGACATCAACATCGACGAGGACACGTTCACGGCCGAGTCGGCGGCCGGCGTGGTGCGCAAGGCGGGCGAGAAGATCGGCGACGGCATCGAGTTGGTGGCGGACGGCGCCAAGAAGGTGTACCACACGGTGCGCGGCGAGAAGAAGGCCAACGCCGAGGAGGGCCGCGACCAGGTCCAGCAGAACGACAACTACCACGGCCGCTTCAGCGACCGCGACGCCGAGTGGCTGCCCTGAGCGCCGAACTTGCAAATTTAAGCTCCCCTCTTTCCCCCTCGCTCAAGACCCGTGCCGAAAATTTTCCGCAACTGCCGTGGGACTTCCCTCCCCCCGCGACACGGCCGCCGGAAATCTTTCATCTCCGCCGCGCCAAATTTCGGCCGTAAGGGGGGGGAATTGCCAACCGGTGCGTTTTTTGAAAGAATGTTTCGTCGTGAAAACTTTGTGTACACAGATACAAAGCTGCCATCGGACATAGCGAAGCGCAGCCAAAGATCCTAAAAGTATTGCCTCACCAAGGCGAAGGCGGGAGATAAGAGACTGCAGTTCTATTTTCATCTCGTGCGACCCATAAAAGCTACTAGACACCATTTGTTTCTCATAGTGCGGTTACAAGCTGCTGCTTTTTTGGTGATTCTGTGAGGTTCCTTTTGACGAGTTTGATCTGATAAACCTGTGATAAGGCTTGATAGCAAGCTGAGGGCGACAAGACGATAGGAGGATGGCGGATGGCTCAATTTTAAATCACTTTTTTCTATAAACTTTTAGACGTGTAATTCCACGCAACGATGACTTTCAATTGTTTCACGATTGTAAACTGTGGGTCTTATTTGTATTCCTCTATTTTAAAATAATAAACTGTGCCATATACATTGTTTTTGATTCTATTCTCCCGGGGGGGAGCCGACGGCGGGAACTCTTTTGCATCTTAGAGGGAAAGCCAGCCTCTAATATACAGAGCCGCGCCAACAAGGTAGGCCACCCACCTCACACGCTAGGGTGGAGAGGGAGAGCGGACACACTAACTCTTTTGCCTTTTGCACCTATTACAACATAGCGGGGAGAGGGATGGACGTTGGACGTTTGCATCGCGTCTTATAGCCGGCCAGGATTGTAAGGCCGCGCCGTCAAGGTAGGCCACCCATTCGACACGCTGCCGCCGCAAAATAAAAGCCATTCCCATCCGGGATTTGAACCCAAGTTCTTCGATACACGACCGCCACTTCAGCCCACTCAGCCACCGAGGCACCAATTAGTGAATGTTCGTCTAAACTTAGAGTGATGGTACCACCAGCACTCAACTGAGGAAAATATTTCTGTGCCTAGGAATCGTACCCCAGTGCTCTCTCTGGGCGACCTCAGGATTGGGACTCGAACTCGAGCCCTTCCCATTGCAGCCATCTCTTCAGCCCACACCGACTCGCTTGGAACAAGTTGCCCCGAGACCCGGGCCTCCCCACCCCAAAGTTGGCATCTCTGCCGACCATTGTTAAAGTCGGTTACCCCGCCCTCCAAATTCACCATCACTTGAAGCAGGGAGGCCACAACCAGGATGTCTTTGGCCAGGATTTCGTCCGCGCTGCCGGGCGTCGGCGCCGCGGACGAGGGCGAGGGCATCGTCATCAACCCCGACGTGACGACTCCGGTCCGCACGGAGGAGGCGCACACCAGAAACTCGTCCACCCCGCACTCGCGCACCACCACCACCGTCACGACCGTCACCACCAGGACGCCGACGTCCACCGAGGTGGTCAAGACGACGGTGGCCGTGACCAAAGGTCCGTGCCGAGCCGTAGGGCCTAGCGCCGTGGTTCTGGAGTTCTCTCCTCCATCACGCCTTGCTTGGACTGCTTGCCGTGATTGCAGACACGGCGCCCGGCGAGGACGGCGTGGCCACCTTGCCGCTGCCCACCGTGACGCGCTGCACCACCAAGGAGACCACCATCACCACGGGGAAGGCCGTGGTGCGCACCGTCGAGGAGCACGCCACCACCACCTCGGCCACGGCCGCGCAGCTCAGCGCCACGTCCTTCGACGTGCTCTAAACAGTTTGCTCCGGGGGCTTTGAGTGAAAGGTACAAGTGGCTTATTCACCATTTTTATTTATGAAAAAAAAAATAAAGGGGGATTTAGTCATGCGGCAACAAAACAAGGTCTCCTCTATCCTACACAAACTCAAGTTACAAAAAGTTTCAATTAATATGACCACTTTGAACCATGTGCCCTACAGTTGGGAAACTGGTCAATGGTTGTGTTTCCACTCACAAGGTTGATTTAGACAGAGCACCCATAACAATAAAAGCTTTCTAGGTTACTTGAAACTGAGATTTAAAAATGATAATCAGTGACAGTAACATACAAAACAATATGGGACGTTCGTAAAGTAGAATTTGTTATTGACTAAGTAACAATGAAGGAGATGAAATTTAATGTGTCCTTGAAGTTAACTGCATTAAGAGACCAAACATTTTCTAGGGACTGAAATCATAGACTGAAATATGTATAAATTATTATATTTCTTAAAATTAAAGTTACAAAGATCAAAACGGCAAATTATTTATTTCTTTTTATCGTCTTTTGATGTGGGAGTTACTTTGTCCTTGTCTTTCTCCTTTTCTTTTTCATCTTCTTTCTCCTTTCCTTCCTTTTCTTTCTTGTCCTTGGTATCTTCTTTCTTGGCCGTGCCTTCTTTCTTTTCAGATTCTCTGTTTGTCAATTTGTTGTTGATGAGATTGTGAAGAGCGACAATGGATCGAACAAGTGAAGCCAGATATACAACAAGCATCTGGTCATTTGTTTTGGTGTAAAGAGAATCAACAAATGTGTCTCGTGATACATCTGGGAGTAAATTGAAGATATCCTGCAGTTGGTAGACAATTTGATGATTGATGGGAAGCTTTCCTTCACCAACCTAGACCAAACATACAAAGGCACAGTTGACATTTTAGAAATTTTGCTAAGAGCGCAAACAAAAACAGAAACAATAGGTAAATCAAAGAAAAATTTAAGTTTACCTGAACAAGGTAATTCCTAATCTCTTGGATTTGCAAATGCAATCCCTTTAAACCCAAAAGTTGGTTTGTGATCCTCTGTGACAGTGTTCCAACTGTTGTATCCTTTATGTCACGCAGGAGGTGCTCCACCCCAACCTCTTCAGCTTCCTCTGCCCCAATTTCACTGGGGACGTGTTCGAAGGTCTTTGTAGTTGGAGAACCATCCTTTAAACAATTCCAAAAGAAAGATCATCCACCATGAAATCTGAGACCAAAGAACTGAAATCGAAATTAAACTTGACAAAAATTCATCCAATAAAACTTACATCATGAACCTCTTCCACTGCCCTGTAAGCCTCAGTAGGTAAACCAAGGTCCTTAGGAGCAGCATCAATAATGACCAGCACTGAATTGGGACAGTATCTCCTAACCAGTTCATTGATTGCGACATCATTTTGGTGCAGTTTCGGACCAGTGTGATACCAGCCTACAACTTTTTCTCGGGCTGTGCAAATCATACAAATATTTCATTAGAAAACTCCCAAGGTACAAGTATGGAAATTCAAGGAATAAGAAAGAGATTATCATTAAGACAAAATAAAGACATCTTACCATTTACTTTTTTGAACATTCCATACATGTTTTCAAGGTAGTCGTGGTCAAGGAACCAGACTGACTTGTCCTTGTCGTCTTCATCGAAAGGCACTAGAAAAACAGAGAACTGAGATGATTATGACAGTCACCAGAAGTAGTCAAGTTTTTAGCACAGAGCCTCAGGGTGGTGAGGCCGCAAAGAGTACAAACTTATTTTCAAAAACAATGAATGAGTTCAGAGGTTAAGCATGATACAGCCAAACGTCATTCATTGCTCTTAGCTCAAAATAAACTCAGACTTTTAAAAAAATGAATGAAGATCAGTAAATATGAATGAAATGTGATGGAATTACACTATTCCTAGTCTTACTTTAGCTGAAAAAGCTCTAGAAGTGGCACTAACCTGCAAAACTGTTGGACACATCCAGGACTCCTTTCGCCCGCCAGCACCCAAGTAAAACTCCAACTACTCGTTTCTGGTTTCCGATTTTGCCCATGCGATTGAAATGGTCGACTACACTTAACAAAACTAGTGGGTGAACCACCACTTTGGAAGTTACAGGTTCTTGACTCGGCATTTTTGAGTCGGTACTTGACAGACACAAAAGTTAATCGTCAGAACGGAACGGCTGCTTGCAACAGAAAGCAAAACAGCCGACATTCACTTCTTCTTCCTCTTGTTCTTGCAGTCTTTGGCTAATGCATACCGTTTTCTGTGCGTCCAGGGTTCTACTTAGGGAAAAGAACAGAGAGAAAAAGAAAACAAGGTCTTGCCCCCCTCCCCCCCCCCCTTCCCCGTGGCATGTCTGTCGTTTACCGCAACCCACGTGGGAATAAATTTTGAAGTTGCATGCTTTAAGTCTAGAGTAATTTTGACCAGGCCATTTCATTTACATTAGTCAAAGCAGATTTAAAATAGCCATGGCGATCGCTGACCAGGACGCGGTGGCCCTCCGGATTCAAAGTATTTTGAACAACTCGGCGACCGAGGAGAAGAAGACTGAGACGGAGCCCGAGGACGATTCCAGCAGTTCCGAGGATGAAAATGCTCAAAAAAGCGGCAATGTTCGGAGCAGGAGGCCCGGCAACAGGTTTTGGAAAAACGAAAAGACAAGGTAAGCACTGCTTGAGCTCTCTTTACCATTTTATACTGAAGCCAAATTTCTAAACAGGTTATGTTGTCATCAGGCACTACCTGCTTTAAACTATCCCTTTCATGAATATTTTTGCTAGCATTTCTTTTCAAACCCCTCGTTTGCCTGTGCTAATTTACTATTATTTTTGTTTTCCAGGTTTACAACCCTCATTGCTTCCAAAGGCTTAAAGCAGTCTTTCGAAGCACAACAAAAGCTTCGGAACGAGCTGAAGCATGCAAGGGAATTGTCAAGATCTGTGAAAGAAAAACGTGCACAAATGAAACAGGCAAAACGTGAAAGAAGGAAGGAAAGCAAGAGGAGGCAGGAAGAAAATGCAAGGAAGAGTGAGATAGTACAAGTGGTATGTATTGTCTTGGTTTCATTTGATTTATTACTCTTGATGGAAGTCGATGCTAACTGTTACAATTATTGCAGATCAAGAATCCTGCCAAACTCAAGAGGCTGAAGAAGAAGCAGCTGAGGAATATTGAGAAGAGAGACACCTTAGGCTCAGTGTAGAAGCATCTCTATATATGCTGTAAGCATCTTTGATTTCTCTCAATTTGTCCCAATTTGTTCACTGTGCTCCCAGTTCATGAGCGCATTAGTCGTAAAATTGGGGCAAATCAATTCCCCTACAATCCAAGTTTGAATCTTTGGTTCATGCTAACTCTGTGGGAGATACAATTGTAGTTCTCTGAGAATGAATTGTAAATTTAACTGTCTAGACCATCTGTTTGTTTCAGGCTAACAGTTTCTGGAAACTTCCTAACTAAAGGACTTACATTAACTCAATGTAAAGTATTGTCTGTGATACTATAATAAGAGTAAATAAATTTTCAATTATTAAATGAAGTTTAATCTACTGTATCAGTACCCCTACAACATGTGAAGAACATGAATATCACTATGTACAATAAAATTAACAGGAATTAAGTTCATAGAAAATAACACATTAAAAATTAACGAGAATTTATCGGTGTTGAAATGTGCCAAATCCAAGACCTAAACCACGGTGCGTGTGTGTAGCGAGCCTAGCAACTTCATATTGGCTTTCCATATTATGAAACATTTCTTCTTGTTTCTTAATAATTTCACTGCCTCCTTCTCCACTTGAGGTGGCCGCAGGAGCTGGAAAAAGATTTCACAAACATTAAGGCTCATTCTTAAGCACTGCTCTGAATAAAGGCAATAAAACCAACCTTGTACTGGCTGTTTAATGCCCATCAGCCTGTTAAATTTAGCAGTCAGTTTTCCATCTTGATCTTGGGCAAAGGTAGCACCTTGCCATTTATTTGATGTTTGTGATGGAGCTGCAGCTTTGCTAGGGTCTTCTTTCTGAAATTGAATTTTGTATGAGGTTTCAAGAAAAAAAGGAGAGAAATAACTTCAAATGTAAAGACATGATCAAGCAACATTTGCAACTACCTTGGCTCCCCATAAGAGTTTTCTCTTCTGAATTTGGTCCACAAGTCTTTGAGGGTTAACTGCAGCAGCGTTATAGTAACTCGGCAATTCCACACCTGTGGCTTGCTTTACCTGCGCTACTTGCTGCTCCATAGTTCTTTGAACTAGCATTTGAGGAGTAACCAGGCCAATGGATGCCTTAGCCTCAGCTTTCAACTCAATTCCCATTCGTTCTAAAACTGGAAAAAAAGAAAAACAAGATTTATTGTTGGGAAACAAAATATTAAAAAGCACATGATGTTACAGACATTCAATTTACCATTAAGTTTCCTGTCAATTTTCTTTTCCATATAAAACTTCCTTGAATCACCGCTAGATGTTCGTGATCGTTCTTTCTCCTGGCTTTTACTGCGGGACCTACTACCTGCAGATGGTAAAACCTTGACATCCCTAAAATTTGGAATTGAAAAAGTCAGTTTTTGAGGTGCAACCAAAAATCCAAGTCACAAAAAATTACAAAAAAGGAAGAAGTTACCTTGACCGGGCATGGGCATCACTCTTACTGCTTCCACTGCTGCTACTGCTTCTGGAATCCGTTCCCGGTCTGTGTCTGTCAACACTGCGAGATCGTGATCTGTGCCGTTTACGATCAGAGTCTCTTCGGTTTGTCTCAGTGCGTCTGTTATTAAAGAAACATAACCATTTTTGAATGGTTGGTCACCAGAATAAGTGTAGCTAGGAAGCTTGGAGACATGACTTGTAACTTACCTGCGGTCCGCATTCCTGTGTTCCCTGTATTCCCGACTCGAAGAGCGCCTTTCTTTCGACTTTCGCCTAGAATCTCTATCTTTTGATCGACGTCTGCCACTTCTGTCTTGACTTCTTTCTCTATCTCTTCGATCCCTGCTTCTTGATCGATGTCTCTCTTCTCTTCTGTAGTCTCTTCTTCTGTCCTTGTCATCTCTGTCTCTCGAACGGTCTTTATCACATTCCTTGTCACGGTCTCTCTCTCTTTCCTTGTCACGATTACTGCGACTCTCCAAATCTCTCCTGACCTGATCTTTGTCTGGTTTCAGAGCACCTTTATCTTTTAACAATTTTTCTTGTGTGTTTACTTTTGCAGAGCTAGACAGCAAATCCTCTGACTTTGAGTCATCATTTTCATCACTCTCACTACCATGGGATTGTGCCGTAGAAGCAGGAGAAGATGAAGAAGAGTTATTAGCAGGGTTGAGAGGTGAGCAGTTGCCATCATCATCTTTCACCGCTGATTCAGAACCGGACTCCTGAAATCAGACAAAAATTCTTGATTTATCATTGTGCACAGAATAATAAATAAATAGGGGCAATAATACTCTAATAGTCTTGAGTTTCAATGAATATTCTCACTTTACTTTAGTCAGTAACAAATTAACATGCATTGTGTATTTTTTTAAAAGTGAAGCAACCAAACAAAAGAATAATATTATAAAAACAATGCCAAAATCGGTTTAGAAACATAAATGAATCTTACTAACATGTAGTATGTTATTTTCAGTTCAGTTATTTGGAATGTTAGGTAGACAACTACATTTTAACTTAAACAATATCATTTGATTCAATAGTGGGTCTGAATCACACATGCCTAAAATTGCTGGACAAAAGAACCTAGAGCAATTTCAAGACATGGTTGGTCACTAGAAGACATATCACAAGTGGGTGGTACTTGTGAATAAAGCTATCTTGATACCCACCACAACCACAACATATTGGGCATGCTATAACAAGACCTACAAAAGTGAACAACCTAATCATAAACAGGCTACATTTAAAAATAGCACACATCAATGGCAAATTTTCACATCAGAAGCACCTCCATGTGAAATCATAAAATTGGCAAACTTAAGAAAGGGGAGAGAAATAAAGACAAGGCAAAAAGAAGCAGAGTACCTGCAAATCTATCATAATGTAAACTTGGTGTGTATAAATTGTGATCATGCCAGAAAAATGTCATGTTTTGTATTTCATGTTTCAATGTTCACATAAAATAGGTGTTGCTAATTTAGATAACTATGCTGTTGTATAAGGACTTAACAGTCCTATGAAGGGAATCACTTACTTGTTAAGCTTTGAGTTAGGAGGCAGGCGCCACCTTCCATACTCACCCCCACCCATGGTTTTAGGTGGTTCCAAGCAAACAACGCTCCAGGATTGGTTCACACCGTTCGCTGATTCCAGTCTCGTACTAATAAAGACTTCGACGGGATGTGGTCGCACCACTGATAGTATTTCAACAGACTATGTTAATATTTGAATGGTTCATATCACGCACAATTTCTATTTTAAAATATCCAAATCACTGGATGAATATCTCAAAGGTTTCCTAGCAAATCCTATTCACAAATCACATTTTTTTAATACTGCAATGAAAGAGCTCTATACAGTTGCCACAATAATTAAAACTTAAACAGGTTCAAGTTCATATTTCAGAGCACCTAAGCTTCTTTTCTGTTAAAAGGCAGAAGTTTTACTTTTCACATTTCTCCAAAAAGTAAGTACCTTTTAAAGGGATAGTAATATTTTGGAAGAGGGTAAAGATACCAGTACATCATTTAAAACTATTAAATGAAAACAAGAGAAAAATTGAAAATTTAATAAAGTTTTAGATGGAGCAGGTTTTCCATTCCCAACTAAGTCATCAAACACCAACAGTAAACGCATACCATCAGTTTTGAACCACTACAAATTAAAATAAATTATCATGAGATTGACGTTAAAAGGAGGGTCTTTACCTGCACAGATGTTGGACAGCCACCGCTTCTCCTCCAAGAAGGCCCAGACAGCATTCGCCGCCTAGTATACTAGTTAATTTTAAAAAATAAAAATTATGAGGTTTAGTATTAATGTTCCTGAACAAGGTTGAGGAAAAATACAGGGAAATAAAAACATGAATAGAAGATACTTCTGAAACAAAAACTTGAACCAGAAAGGTAATAATACATGTAGGAGAACAAACATCTTTCAAACTGCAAATTACTGTTTATTATTTCTAATAATTTCCTCGCATGCCGTATGCAGATGTTTGATTTGAATGATATTGATACTGATTTATGAGGTCTCATTTAAATAATTAGCTACTACAATGAGCATAAATAACAAACACCAAATTTTCTGCAGATTACATTTCTTAATGGCTTTTTGCAAAGAGCCCTCAAAGAGTATTGAGAAACTATACTTGTATCTTGGAACATCTAGGTTGGAGCGGTAGAACATAAGCGTGAGAATATTGAGAACACAATAACAAATGGTGAGGAAAAGTCCAGATCACACCTATTCCGTTCCTGCTTTACAAGGATCTCACAAGCATGGACAAGGTGCAATTAAAGTTACATGTGTGGTAGCTGTTTACACCTTGTGCCAGACAGTAAGACTGAATGAGAGAGGTTTATGTGCACCTGGTATATATACGTACCGACAAAATGGTTGCACAGGCAGGTGGAGCCATGTGTGGAGCACCACCACACCGGAAGGTGCCAGGGGAATGTGCTTGAACGGAGGGAGCTTTGCTGCCGTTAAGTGGATTCTGCCAGAATCGCAGCAAAAATACTGTTAATGTACTGAACTCAATGCCACCATCCAAATGTGTCACATAGCCATTACAGATGCACAACAGAAGAAGGGGAGAGGAATGCGTTACTGCCTTCAGTTCATGCACCGTCATGATTTTACAAAAATTAAACTATGAAGTGCAGTTTTATTTTGTCATTATTTTCTAAGTAAAAAAAAAGGATTGATTGAGAAGCAAAGACTTCCTTTTTCTGAGGGCATGACATTCATTCAAGAGAGTGGCAAGATAAAAGGCTGCAGGTTTGATTGCACAGGAAGCAATTCAATTATTTTGTGAAAGTAAGTAAATAAAAATCAACTTAAAAACTCAATGAGTGTCAGTTAACCTGTTGGTAAAAAGTAATAAGCTTTGAAACCAAAAGCATTACAAAGCAAGTCTAACAACGTAATAAGGAACTGTTAAGACAGTTCGATTTCCTTGCAGTTATAGACAGCCAAAAGATGAATATATGTAGTACTGGAGCAGTGCGCAGTAAGGATTTAAACAAACAACATTTAAAAAAAGTTTTCTCAGTGCTAAATAAAATGATTAAAATGAAGCCACAACTACATTATTGAAACAGAAAGAAAGAAAGGTGACTGAAATATGAAAACTCAGTACAAAACAACCAAAGTACCCCACTATAACAATCCTAAATGTCAACTGCTTGGTGCTTGGTATCAATAAATAACACATAGCAGTTGCCATTAGGCATTAGGGGGACTAGGGATCAACAGATTCACAAAAAAATATTTGTGCTGAACAGAGACAGTTTCAATAGAAACTCCTATTCATTTTAAAGAGGATAAAATTAAGTTTGCAATGCTACACTTACAGGAGCATTTGTACAATATGACAAGTAGTAGTAACATGTGTTCACGGTCAAGTTTATCTAAATGATGATAGTTGTGTTAGATGTGTGAAAATGAAACATCAGAATTGCCACGGCATAATAATTCAAGGTGATATTTCTTTCTTTCAATCATACAACAAACACTACAAGCATGCAATACTGAGTACAATCTGACGATACCCTGAATACTTTCTATTGCATGCTTGATACGTTCAGTTGGTAACGAACTGGCATAACAATATGACTAACATCTACAGCAAGCATACAGGCTCTTTAATTAAAGCACCAATACCTACAAAGATTCGGTTTATTTTGACAAAAGTAACTTTTAAAAAGTATCTCCCTATAAGCAAAATTTAACAACTGGAAAGCCAAAAAGATAAGACCAATCAATTTAGAAAATAAATTGCTATGAAGTTTGAAACCCTGACTACTATTCTGTATGTCGGCACAAGGAAAAATGTAAGAAAATGGCAAGGCATTTAGTCCAAGATTACTAAGCAGAGCTGTTTAGGGCAACAAGCAATTACAAACAGGCCTTTCCAAATCTGATGAAAATTAACGATAATGGAGATAAAATGAGGTTTAATTAATGAGAAAGTTAATTTGTATAAAATGGAAGAGTAAACTTTATCGGTGCTGGCAATCATTTTCAAAACCTTTCTTACATCAAGAAGCCTTACTGTTCTACCCCATACAAAAAATACCTCCTGAAAGAAAATATCATACCTCACTCATCTCCATTTGAACATCGTCGTAGTTGTCACCCTCCATCCGGCTTTGAACTGGCTCCGAACTTGCATTCACCTGAAGAAAGAAATGCATTCTTCTCAAAAGGTAGGCAGATTAGGAGGATCAGGAGGGTGTTGTGTTATCTAAGGAACTACTTCAGTAAAAGTCAAATCCTCATACACCAAAATAAAATGGTTTTCCAGTAAGCTGCACATGATTGGCAATATATTGCAGCATATTCTGTCATGTAAAGCGCTTTAAACCAGAAGATGCAATTTTACTATTTATTTTTTAAATCGACAAAGGCAAATATTTTGACTAAGGTTCAGAGGGGACATAACCTGGCGTGAAGTCACTAAAGGTCAAGTCAAATGAAATGAACGATAGAAAGAGGCAAAGGCAAACTTGCTTGTCACTGGAAAACAAATAACCAAACAGGCGGAACGTTCGAAAGAAAAACAAATTGGTTATAGCAAAATTTGTCGTGCCTAGTCGCCTAGATAGGCTCTCGTAGTTCTGGTTAGAAACCCGCCTAGGAAATGTTGCCTACAAACAAATGCATTAGAGGAACACTAGAAAAAATGGCGAACTTTACATTTGTGGAAGAAATGGCCTCGTTTTCATCGTCACTGCCGTAGTTTGCTAGAGAATCCATGTCCGAAAGACGAAAATACAACAAATACAAATTCAATATGGCGACAAAGGTCTTCTGCTGCTGCGCGCGCACACGAAACACATCCCCACCACACCAACGGCTGGACGTAGTTTTACCGAGCGCCGCCAGATAGCACCAGTGGCGCCAGGGGGCAGTCAGGGAAGCCGGGAAGCCCCACTAGACCAACGACGGACACGACCAACTTCTTAAACAGTGAACGGCGCTCCGGAAAGAAATTTAGAGGGACAGTGCGATTCACCCACGACCCGAGCCAGGCCATCCCCTGACTGGCGTGACAGATCCTTTCTGGAGCGTTCCAGGTCTGCCCTGGATCCACTATGAATTTTTCTGCCCCTGCAGACAGATTCTGAGAGCCGTTTTCGTCGCTCTATCTCTCTCGCACGTAGACGGGACGTTCCATGAGTGCGAGAGAGACAGGGCGGCCTAAACGGCCGGAACGCCCCATGAGCGCGAGAGAGACAGACGAAAAAGGCCCTCGGAATCTGTGTCCTCAGGAAGCAAGTTCGGGGAACCATCCCGACACACGGGGTGACGGCGCAGCGCGCGGTACGCGGTGCGTCTCAAGGCGGCACGGCCCTGGTGGCTGGTGGAGTCCCGGCGGTCCTACCCAGTCCTACCGGGTCCGCGGCACGGCACGCGGCACGGCTCTTGCGCAACCCCACAATAGGAAAGCGGTAAGCAAGCGCGAACCGCGCGAACAAAGGCGTCGTCATTACATGAAATTCGGAGCAAAAATAATGGGCTTCGCGGTGACGCTCCCCAGACGGTCGTGCGATGCGTGCGTGGTGGCGACGGCGGCGTCCTCGGCGAGGGCCTTGCTGGGCTGGGCCGGGTTGCCGCATCGGGAGAAAGGAGACGAGAGCAGCCCTCCGTTTTCAGTTTTCGGCAACGGAACGACATTCGGCCACGCAAGGGGTGACGACGGGGTGCTGCCGGTTTCACTCGCGTGCCGCGCCGTCTCTTTATGGCTGCGGGTCCATTCGCTCCACGATCCCCGCCGACTGATTCCGGTCGTCGTTTAGTCGTGGCTGTCTCTCTCGCTCCTATAAACAGCGCGCTCAAGGAGTGCGAGAGAGACGGAGCGACGAAAACGACTGTCGGAATCAGTCTGCAGCACGACGCGACACGACGCACGCTGACATGAGTCTCGCCGCGCGGAAGAACGCGAAAAGGGGACAGGACTCGGGACAGGCAGGACCGCAGGCAGGAGGATGGATGGCGCCAAGGAGGGCGAAAGTCAGGACATCCGGCGCACAGTGGGCCAGAAGACCGGTGGAGGCGGACTAAACTCTGGACGCGTTTTGAGCTCCGGAGTCGCTAAATGGGACCCGAACCGAACGTGTGACCCCACCAATGGATTGCTCTCCGAACGAGGAATCCATTGGTGGGGTCACACGTACGGTTCGAGTCCATTTTAGCGACTCTGGAGCTCAAAACGCGTCTAGAGTTTTGTCCGCCTCCACCGGTCCTCTGGCCCACTGTGCGGCGGCATCCTGGCGGCTCGGCATCACAGCGAGCACGGCGGGCACGGCGGGAATCCACCCACACCGCATCACACGCCGACTCCGCGTCGACCGATCGTGGACCCGCATGGGACTTCCCTCGTCGGTGAGGAGGGCGTTGGAGTCCGTGATAGACTTCTTGGCAGAAAAAAAAATGCTCTTTCGGTGGAAGAAACGCCTCTGGGTGGAAGAAATGAGTTGTCATCGGACAGAACAACCTATTTTCAATGGGTTTCCGATGTGACTTACGCCGTTACACCCAACGGCCGCTGAAATGCTGTTGGGTGGAAGAAATGCTCTTGGGTGGCAGAAAAATGCTCCCGAGCAGAAGAAATGCTCTACGCAGAAACTGCTGCCGCGCGGAAGAAAGGCTCTCGGCCGCGGAATTGTGGCCACAAAGAGGGACGTGTGGAGGCCTAAAGCTTGGCGACGGTTGCGCTGAGTCAGGTCTCCCCGCGTGCCGAAGCAGCCGAAGCAGTCCGTGCCGGCCGTGCGCCGTCCCCTCCCTCGTCACAGCCTTGGCGGCGTCCTGATCGAGGTGGACGCCGCGCGGCACACTGCAACATCCGGCCGCCAGCCTCGCCGCCCTTCTTCGATCGATCGGCCCTGATCGGCCATGATCGGCATTAGCGGCTGGGCCGGACGGCGACAGTTTACTCCGCGTCGCCAGGAGACCCGGCCAGGACCACGGGGACCGCCGGGACCTTGAGGCGGGGGTTTCATCGCCGGCCGGGGAGTCCAGGAGCACTCGCCGCTTGCCGCCAACCCGTGATGTCCTGCCGCCACCGCCGCCGCGCGATGTCCGCAGGAAGCCCCCAAGGCCTCAAAGCCCTGTCAAGCAGCGGTCCCAGTACTTTCTGCCGCCACACTGAAAAATCGACTTGGGTCACCGAGGCTGTCGCTGCGTCTCTCTCGCACTCACTGGGTGTCCCGCAAGGGGAAGGGGTGCGACAGAGACAGAGCGACGAAACGCCGCAGGGAGGGGGTCGCGCACCGCGGTCCTATTACGCCTCCTTTATTTGTCCTAGCCACACGCAGGCTTTCTGGTTGCTGCAGACTCATTCCGAGAGTCGTTTTCGTCGCTCTGTCTCTCTCGCACCTCCACAGGACGCTCCGTGCGTGCGGGAGGGACAGAGCGATGACAACGACTCTCGGAATGCCTTGCTGGCTGGGCTGGCGCGTTGCGGCTCACGCACGGCCCTCGCTCCACCTCGTTGAAACGCTCGTTTTCACTCGTCCCCCGAGACGCGCGAGACGCGAGACGCGCGCGGGTCCCTGCCGCCCCCACCGCCTCCGCCGCGACCACCGGCCGGAACGCAACGGCACTTCCTGAGAGAGACACGCCGAGGCTGCTGCATCTTCCTATCTGCCTCCACTGCACGGCACTCCACCACCCGGCCGGCCCATGTCGGTGGTTCAAACACCGCACACGCCTGACTTTTCCTTCTCGTTTTCGCGTCGGCGTGATCACCGAGGCCATACATCACTCGAGCCCTCCGGACTTCGGCGTCATCACAGCGACCATCGCGGCCATTGTATGCGATTGTTCGGCCGTATCGACCATCGGCAACGACCACTGGCCGCGAACATTCGTATCGCGGTGTCGAGACGGTGTGAGGGTAGTGCAGGCCGAGGAGGCACGCAGACTCACTTTCTAGAGCCCACACCCCTTTCCGTTGACGCAACACGGTCATAAACATCGTCATCGCCCTCAACAACATCCTCAGTAGTCAGCCGCGCTGGGCAAGGGCGTCGCACCCCAGGTGAATACCTTAGGCCCTTTGGCACAAGGGCCCTTTGGCACTTGGGCCCTTTGGTTTTGGGCCCTTTGGTTTTGGGCCCTTTGGCACTTGGGTCCTTTGGCACTTGGGCCCTTTGGCACTTGGGCCCTTTGGCACTTGGGCCCTTTGGCACTTGGGCCCTTTGGCACTTGGGCCCTTTGGCACTTGGGTCCTTTGGCACTTGGGCCCTTTGGCATTTGGGTCCTTTGGTACTTGGGCCCTTTGGCACTTGGACCCTTCGGCCCTGTGCCGAGTCTGAGGCGCGTCCCGGGTGTCCTCCGGGCGGCCAATTTTGCGGCTTTTCTGCTTCGGACTGACCCAATTTCCTGGCGGCGCGGCGCAGCTGTCGATGTTCGGCCGAACGGATTGATCAGGACGGCTGCTTCCTTCTCAGCCACGACACTGCCACTGCCCTGCAGCCGCAGGCTCGCCTTGAAAGGGGCGCTGGACTGTGGCTTTGGCTTGGGGTTTGTTGTTGTCGCTCCAGACAGCCGGCCAAAAATAAAGTCGTGCCAAAGGACGTGCCAAATACCGAGCCCTGGAGTACTCCAAGTACAGCGCAGATGACTTTCTCATGAGGGATATGTTTTTTGGCATTTTCCCGGGTTTGAAATTCATTCAAATCCGGGCGCCGAGGACAAATTCCGAGAGTACTTTTTGGTCGCTCTGTCTCTGTCGCACTTTAAGGGCGATCAGTAGACGCGAGGGAGACAGCGAATCGGGCGGCGGGTTTGGCGGCTTGGCATGCGGAAGGAGCGCGCTCTCGCGGTCTCGCCGCCCTCCAGCGCCTTCAGGCTGCCGCCACTGCCGCCACTGCCGCCGCTGCCGCGCTTCCAAGAGCTCGCAGGCTTCCAGCGCTTCCAGTGTGCGTTGCCCAGCACGCAGCGAGTGCGCAGCATCCCCCCGCCGGGACGCGCGACGGCGAAACGAGAAGAGTCGCGGGAAAGGCGGCATGGCAGCCGGCGGCGAGGCCTCGGCGGCGCGGCCGTAGGGGGCGGCGGCGCGACAGTTCTAGGACGAGGACTGCGGGAGAAAGACAGAGACAGTGAAGCAATAGGAGAGGAGGAGGAGGAGGTGGAAACCACAAGACCGTGATACAGAACTTATTCTTATGGAAAGAAAAGGGGAGGGCGGTGGGCGCGGAGGCGGGGCGGGGGAACGGGGCGCGGGGGCGAGGCGCGAGCCATGACGGAAAGGTGGGAGGGGCGGGACCGGCGCGGGCGGGGGCTGCTCCGGTGCCCCAGCCAGGCAAAACCAGCGGCCTACCCGACCAGTATCCTCTCGGCCTCAAGCCAGTGCAGCTCACCTCGAGTGCCGCCCAAGTGACCCGACCCGCCGCGTCGCGCAGCACCCCGCCGACGTGAACCTCACTGAGCGGAAACCCGTCCGACAGCCGCCCGGAAGGCGCGTGCGCGCGCGCCACCGCGAGGACGCCGTCGTCCTCCAGTTCTTCCGCGGGCGCCGGCACCTCCGCGCCGAGCCGGAGCAGTGCCCGATCCTGGATTGCAGCAGTAGTGCCTAACTTGGATACACCCTGCAAGCCGTGCAACGGCAGTGGGAAAAAGTGCATGGCCAATGGCCTAGCGGCTAGCTAGAGCGGCCGGATAATGTGTTGTGGTGCACCTGACACCGCGAGGACCACGGCGACCACTGAGCCGTGACCGCGCCGCGGCCACGCAGCCATGGCGACCAGAAAAGTAAGTTCTTGTCGGCCAGTGTGACACTGGCTGCCGCTGGCTGCGCCACTGCGGTGCGTGCTCCGGAGCCGCGGGCCGCCATGGGGCCG